GATGACCTTGAAGAATGTGTGGTCTTCTCTGTAGAACTTCTCCAAGTCCATACAGAACGCTTCGACATCTTCTTCGCCATAGTTTGATGTCGGCGCGTAAACGACGATTGTCAAAGCCGGAATTGATCCACGTCTTTTTAGTCGTCAACGTCTGATTCGGGGTGTAAGTTGTTCGAATGAATCGATGTTCATGGAGAAACTCGTGTTGACGAGAACGCCGACTCCTCTACTGTCGCATGTTCCGAGGAACAGTTCTTTTCCGGTGTCATAGACGGCGTTGAAAGGCTGCCGTCTTCTTGTCTCGGCCAGGCCGATGACGTCGTACCTTATCCTTCTTGCTTGCGTAAGTCTTCTATCGAGGACTAGGATGCGAGTGTACGTGCATCGTAGGTACAGATCGTCACCATAGTTGACAGCTTCCGTTAGCTCTGAGATAACCTCTCCGTACTCGTCCAACGCTGCGAAATTGGAGGCTCTTTCGGGGTCAGGAGCATGAGGCCCGTTTTTTTAAACTGTTTTGCATTTTGATACCCACATATAGCTTGCTGGGCTCTGAACGTGGAAGCTGGGTATACTCAAGGGTAGCTTACCAGGCTCTCCCAGAGTGGACATGTTGCTTATTTGTTGGAGGCGACTTCTAACCACCTTCCATATGCTTCCCAGTCACTTGATTGCAAGCTTTTGGCCGCATTGACCTTTGCCTACAAGATGTAAAAATCAAGAACAAATTCCGCTTTGAGCAAGTCGCAAACATTCCTTCCACTCCGTTGCCTTCAAGGCTAGTATTTCGAAAACGATAATCACCAGTGTGCCGTTTATGCTCAGTGCATTGGAAATTTTGAAAAATAAGATTTTCACTCTGGTGTTTGACATTTTTAGTGCTAAAAAAATCTAAATTTTAAGAAGATATTCCGAAGAATATTTCACATCGTACTCTGTCATGGGAAAAGAATATGCGTTAAATAAAGACTACAACATTGTGATTTCGACTGCAGTCTCTGCTTAACTGGTTTCTATGCCGATTTGCGCTAACTAGATCAATCCCGTTGATTGGTGACTCTTAAAAGCACAGTTAGGCTAAAAAACTGGCTAATGAAAAGGCAAAAAAGCATCGGTTGGTGGTTGGTGCAGTGGCTAACACGTGTTCCCAGAAAGGACAATTGCGTGTTCGAGGCTGTTCCGAGTTATGCTCATATCTCATCATCCTTGTAGTTTCATTTTGTAAACCTTCTATACAGCCTAGCACTTAGGATCCGAAGCTGGTTTTCTCTCAACTGCTGGTGATTTTCGATAACTAGAATACAAATTTCATAGAATACGGAACATACTTTGCTCTATTTAGGAGTAACTATGCTTTTTCAAGGCTGCTACCCGATTTTTAATGCTTTTGGAATTAGAAGCTCCAAATGAAATGGGAAGGAAATTTAAATTTCCAGAATGTAAACCGAAATCCCGGCAATCATAACCTCTAGCAACGTAGTTGGGGGCATCATCATGCTCGAATTGGTACAAGACCTCTTGTTCAGTTGCTTTCATCTTTGACAAACGAGCCTCGACGAAGAAACTCACAAAAGTTGTTAATTCCCAGGATCGACCTACTACGATAAAAACACGATTTCCACGCCACCATAAAAACAGGATTTCATCTTTGCGAAACAAAAGATCGTGTAGGTTATTGGCGAAAATCTGTAAATTTTAAGCCTTTTTACTACAATCAATAAAGTTCACTTTGGGCTAAGATATGTTGGTCTAGATTTGGAAGCGACCATTATTTCGGCACCGTGTGAGTGGAAGCCATGTGAGAGACAAGTCGACAGTAAATGTTAATCCGATACCACAATTATCTTCTGTAAAACTGAACAGCTTTCAACTCCTCAAACACTTCAACAATCGAAAAATTATCGTAATGTGTAGAAAAATCAACCTCAGACGTTGCGCTCTACCACCACCAGAGATCGTTATGATCCTAGGTGGTAATTATCAAGGTAGTAGACTTATTACCGACTCGCAGGGCTCGACCTACACCAGCACTCTAGGAACTACGAGGAAAGGAATTAATCCGATAGTAGGATATAATGAGCCTGGTGAAAACTGTACTAGATCCCTTATAATTCATGATGTTTTACCACTCAAGCATCGATACTCACATAAAGTTCTTCCTAAGACGTTAGGATGGAAGAAAGGTAGACGATATGAAAGTTGTTGAATTTTGCAAAAAAAAAAATCCTGCTTGATTGAGCAGACACGAGGCTGGTATAAGAACTTTTATTCGGCTAGGTTTTCGCCTTTCTCAGAATCGCCTTGATCCAAGCAGGTAGTCTACAAGTGGTCGTCGTCAAAATGTGTGTGTTCCCTGTCGCAGAGTCGAGTCCAGCACGGGATTCACCGCTCGAGTGCGGAAGTTCACTGGTCGATGCACTTCCATACAGGATGGGTGTCGTAATTTGAGTCGGCAATGTGTCCTGCAGTAGTTAGTATTTCATTTGCTGGCACGTAGCGTGGCTATGCCTTAAACCCTTCATAAAACCTTGGTAGCAATGACCAATAGTTCTCTATCTGATTCAGCTACTACTTTCTATATAATTGAACTCTATATTGACTGCTACAGGACACATGGACACATTATCGCCGAAAATGCAGATCATGTTAGATGGCTGGAATCGATGAACATCCGTTCCGTGTAAAAAGACATCGATGAGTGAAGTTCTCCATTCGAACGATGCTCTCGCCACTGGACTCGACTCGATGCGCCAGCGGACACCTACATCGCGACAAGGATCGGCTGTGGGCCATTAACTCGGTCAATGTGGCCATAAGGAAAGTGAAGGTGCCGGAACTTCCGCTGGAAAAACCTTTGTATCAAATCCGTGTCAGCTCGACTATGTAGAAAATTATTATTTCCACCGAGGCCTAGTTAAAATCGGTCGTTGAGGTTTTTTTTCTCAAAATATGTATAGTATTCCGAAAAAATTTACTTTATACCATAGGAAAACTCTTCATTCAAAAGCGAAAGACTAATCTCGATCAAATGGATGTGTATACAAGTACGTATATATGTAGGTGGGTTGGGCGTGAATGGACCACTATCTATACAAGTATTCACCACAAATGCCCAGTGGTAATACGATCTAATTGATGCCATACGTCTTGAACTCTAAGTTGTGCTTCCTATGACACTGTCTCCAAAATAATGCAGAAACAGTGACAGATATTAAGTTTTTTCCTTTTTTTGGATTTCTAGGTCAATATTCGACTTCCAAGAAGAGTGAAATCGATGGGCGTGTCCAGCGTACCGGCTAATCAAATGCACGTCAAGAATCTTTCTTCAGTTCTACTCCCTTTGTATGGATTGATCACCTCATTAAACATTTTGGACAACGTTGTGAAGCAACTAAATCTCTTATGTCACTAAATTCAATGCAGTATTTCAACTAGTGAATCAAAACAAGAAGATAGGAGAGACTTTCGCTCATTGCTTAAAGGTACCCTGTGCTTCACATGGTCATTGAAAGCATTCCCATAAGGCACCTATCTCTTAAAGTCTAACAAACTGGTACCAGACTTGTCTGGGAGGGTAGCAGCACTGAACTGAAGCATTGGTAAGACGTCGCAGTCCATCGTATAGGCCGAACAGACATTCAACCACCTCTACCACACTTGATGAAGCTGTATGCATCCCTACTGCATTACATGATAAATAAACATCGAATGCATCATCCTTTAGTTCTACCCCACAGAACTTTTGTGATCATGGTCGTCTCAATACCTTGTGCTGATTGTGTTTTTAATTGAGAAAGGGTTATTCGCGTAGTCAGATTTTTGGCGAAATTCAAACAGAATCTATTCGTTTGACTGTATGTAAACGTCCTGTTACGAAACCCATGCTTTAACACTATACTTGTCTTCATATTCCTTCTATATCTTCGTATAACGTATCCTACTGTCCTAATATATGCAACGACGAAAATCTTCTGTCCTCTGAAATAATTATAAAGACCACTGAAGATAATTCAGTTGAATTACTCGACCACTACTGAACCAAAGATAATTTATACAGTTACACTACCCTATGACACCAAAGGTGACGACCTGAACAGTATACATTCCCTGCAAAACACAACACGCGGTCACATGCAGCAGTTCTCTCATTCTGATCTCATCCGATTTTACATCTCTTTGCTAATCATAAAGTTACTGCAGTTTGTCACGAATTCATTCCTCACAGTTATTCACCTGAGATGCCCACAACTCCAAGGCATGATGAGACACCACTATCCCCATCTCCATGTTAATGTTTTCCTATTAATACTACGTTTTAAAAAAACGACAAATTCCTGAGGTGATGACAATAAGGGGCACACTAAGCAGTACAAGGCTCTTTCCACCGCCGTTTGCTTCAAAGCACGTATATACACACCCTCCTTTGCAATCTTTCGATTATAATAGCTCTTGCATTGGTTGTTAGTTGTCGTTGATCATATGTGCTAGTAAGCCTAAAACAATGGTACATATTGAAGTTCATCCAACAATAAGAACGACTGGAAACGACAGTACAATAGTAATACCTGGGACCAACAGTATAAATGTGCAACACAACGAGGATCAGCGAGGAACACAATCGGTCACAGGTGAATGGAGCACAACATTGATGGCATTCGGAAGAAAAAAAGACGAATAATTGAGGCGAGTATGAAAGGTATCCTCAACGCAAGTGTACCCGGACGTGACAATGTGGCTAACACATACATCCACAGATAAACCTACTGCGGTATTCAATCCGGTGAGTCGAGTTATAAGTGAGCCGAATTCACGTAAACATGAAATGAAGCAACTCCGCTAAAAGGAGTGATCAATGCCACAAACCAGGTTGGACTTGTGAAACCGTAAAGACCACGAAAAAAATTCTCAAAATACCGATTAACAGATCACCAATAGGAACATACAGCTCTCACTTATGATAAATCACCTTCATGAGTCATTAGCAGTTCGGATATGAAGCATTATTTTGCTGCTAGTGGCTCAGCAACTGGAACAGCATCAGTGATACTAGGAACGTCCTTCTTTGCAGGTTTCTTCTTCTTTTTTTTGAGCTGTGAGTTTAACGTAGCAATCAATCCAGCGTCCTGGAAATTGTTAAGTCGAGAAAATAAACACAACAATGTAAACATATATAGTCTAAAAAATCACTTTTAAATGGACCTCAATGAAACACACGGTGTTTGCAGTGACCAAATTTTGCTGACAGGTTTAACCCACTCAAGTTGATTGTTAGTATAAAATAGCAAACAATTGTAAGTAGTAAAACCTCTACAATCTTCAATACACAAACATCATAAGATGGCCTACCTTCAATTTTGCATCAGTATCAATCAAGTTCATATCAAGAGGGAGCCCAGCAATTTTCAACAGCCCATTTGGCATAATCAACACTGTAGCTTTAAACTGTGCCACCATCTCGCCAGCTGCCTCGTAGTACACCTAGGTAAAAGGCTTTATCAAAAGTCCTCCCATCCCTATAGCACAAACTTATAAGATATGAAACTACACAATTCTCCAACTAAAAGAACACAAGAATTCACCTGATATGGACGAAGAAGCCCATGCTTTTCAGGCTCAACAACTCCCATTTTTGCCTTCACTTCATCTTCAAAAGCACGTAAAGTGAATGGCATCACTCCAAACTGAAAACTCACCAAGTTCAATAAATACCATTGTTTGTTTGGAATAACATTTATTAGGGCAAAATATCTCCCTTTTTCCTCGACACCGTTAGAATGAAACATATAACCACATTTCGGTTGCAGATGTTTAGCAAAATGATGAGAGAAGGTAGGAAAACAAACGGAAAATTACCCTATCTTTGCATTCCTTCATTAAAGCCCGTGCAGCTTTCAATCTTAACGAATATTGTATATCCTCATTTCTTTTGAACACTGTGGTACGAGTATCCATATCCTTCGCTTTGCCTAAACTTAGCAGTATGTAACTGTTCAAGACGATGTTGGCAGATAGAGCAAGGCTAGGTAATTAGCAAAGAACACTACTCTTATCCCTTAATAATGTAATTGTGGTTAAGAATTCTTCTCTGATGTCGAACTTCAATATGAAGCGAGTGTTCATCACTCGTCTGGGTCATTAAGGCTAAAAACCAATTTCATGTTTCCATTAGGAAGCACAGTTCGAATTACACCTATCCATATACAGTACAGCCATGATAGGAACTTGTCCCTACTTTCACACCAAATATACTAGACGGAAGTCGACTCCGAACAAAAGTGTGGCGCAATTTACGTCCGAATAGATCCCATATTTGAACAGTGACCAGATAGAACGAAGACTTTAATGATGCCCGTTCCAGTTATTAGATTATTAATGGAACTACGAATGATGCTTGCAAATCAAAAAACAAAAAAAAAAGCCAAACAAAGCACACATATCTCTATTGCTTCTCACCTTTACCGGTGGAAAATAGAATATCAATGGCGTAGACCTCGTGCTTCTCTATTGTGAACCTTTCCATCTCCATTCGTTGCTTCTCCCCTGGATTTTGAATGATCTGCTTTTCGCCATCTATCTGATCTCTCATCAACTGGTGAGACACCATATTTTCAATGGGAACTACACCATAATCAGCAGCCACCTGTAAATTTTCACTGCAATGTACACCATTTAATCACTTAGAGATGATGAAACCAAGCAAACTTAAAAATGTTCCCAAAAATAGACTTGTCCATAATAAACCAGATAAACGACGAATTGACTATGTGAAATTAACAGTCATCTCCTCTTATACAATTTTTTCTCCTGGTAACGTAGAATCAACGAATACGCTTGGATTGCTGTGATAAACAACTTAAACTAATGTCAGGTGATTGCAGATGGCAGCGTTATGTAGAAAACTAGCTGAAAGAATAGCAGAGAAAGGGCCTCCGTGGTACAAAGTGTAATATGCTAGTCCCCAAAAAGAGTAATCGTGGTTCGATCTGGCCCAGGATCCAAGTCTTGCGAATATCTCAGCATCGTTGCGGTTGTAATTCATATCATACCCTGTCGTAAAAAATTGTAGTAAGCAGAAAATAAAAGGTTAATATCAGAGTATTCACAATACATCAACACGTCCGAGAAAATATATAACATACACTCCATATATGTTGTGGAAATTGATTAAAAATTTCCGACGATACCTTATACATTGAATAAATATCTTACCACAAATAATGTGCCAAGTTTTCCTAGAGGAAAAAAACTCTTTAGAAATGCAATAATGTCGCTTTCTGGACATATTAAATTTCAAACAACCGTTTCCGAGGGTAACTTTGTACGGATCATTAGGTTCCGTTCGATGTATAGATGTAATCCACCACAGACTACTGGTAGTGAGAAAGTAACTTCATAATACTCCCATGGGTAAGGAAGAAGAAACGTGCGCATTTTTTGCTACCATGGGTCATGTACTACTGGGAGTGCACGCGGTAAAAAAAAAGATTCATCGGAATTTATTAAGCAGTACTACATGGATCTCCATCTACAAAATAGCCTGTAAAGCAAAAGTGTTCAAATGGGTATTTTTTTAATTAATATGTTTTCAAATAGCGGTGTCTACAGAATTAATGGAGAAAATCCTTCTACGCCCATCAGATCCAAAATTTCAATGGACTTTTTATACAGTTAACATCTACCATGCCAACAGTCAAAGTGTCAGAATCACAAAGCGCACTGGTGGCATACATAGCCAAAATACTTCTAGCTACTTGAATGATTACCGCAAATAAACGTATTAATAAACAACTAAAATGTTCAGCACACAGATAGTACAAATCCCAAGATACGCCTTCTTTTAACGTCGGCATTGATCAACAATTCACTGTTTCCTTAATGAGCAAACGCGGTGTTCTTATTACAGCATTTATTAATTCACAATAGCTGATGTTTTGGCAGTATCGCCATCTTCACAGCCTGAAACGCTCAAATCGACATGCAGTCTACTCAGCCAAGCACTTTCGTAACCTCAACAGATAAAATTCAACACTTAAAATTTCGCCTGCATAATAAACAGCTAGGACAGCATAAACAGCTATTTCCGGCATACAGCTCAGTGGTAGCGATGTCAATCACCACGAGTTCGGTGCTGACTCGATACCGTTTTGGGTTCAGCAAACCTCTCATCTCTCTGGAGTAGGGAAATTGGAGCCGGAATTGTCCGAGAAAAAAAATTACTCTCTGCAATTCAAGTGGGAACGCTCTAGCCTAGTTATCTCAGAACTCCAGGGAGAATCGACTCGAAAAGCATTCTACGACATTCAAGATAAAAGGAAAGTCCTAAAAGAGAAGCCACACGTAAAAGTTGGAAGATTTTCGCGGATAATGGCAAGGAAACGAATCGAATGTGGAACGTACCAGGATTCGCAAAGTAGATGTGAAAAACAGGTTGTATAAACTACAAATAAAACATCACTTAATCGGTAAAGACCAGACTCACGGAGTCCTACATTTGTAAGAAATGTATCTGGTTGCGGTCAAAAAATCATGTCGATGCATGGCGACAAGTCTCGTGTGATAAAAAATTTTTTACCTGAACCAGGGACATTCTTCGCACATGTACCTCTATATAGCTCGTCTCCGCCAAATAACTGGAAGAATTATAAAGAACAAAGCTGTGGGTGTTTAGAAGATCCTGTTTATTATGCGAATGAAAAATTATGTATTACGTTCTATCTGCTACAGTTATGGAGGTGTTTCAGACGGCATGTCAATTTGAACTCTCAGACTCTGAAGATAGCGAAACCGCCGTAACATCAACTAACATGGATAAATAAATGCTGTCGTAACAACCTTCTACTTGCCGATAAAGAAAACAGTGAATCAGAGATGTTAAAATTTCGATGATACAAATGTTTGATACATAATTTACTCCTTAATGGCACAGTATGAAGGAACGCTGACTTACTTTATCGATCGCTGTCGTTATGTCCATTGTTTTGTTGCCGGGTTGAAGCATACGAATGGCAATTTCCATAGCATCATATGTGGCCTTTAGAAGCACGGCATGCGCACCTGTGACTTTTCTGGTCTGGAAAGTTCTAAGATGTTTTGTGAAGGATACCGATAAGACTAAACAGTGGTTCACAACGAAGAAAAGAAATATCAAACCAAGTCAGGGCTATTCTCTGAGTTGCCTAGCAAACTGTTAGCAAGTATGTTTATGGAGTTACGTTGCGGTTGTAAGAAACATTCCAGTTCTTCCCGAAAAGAAACAAATCTGATGTCCACGTGTATCCATCTGGGTAACCAACACCGTCCACTATCATGAAATAATTCCCTCTATTCCCCCTCTATTCTTTCAATTTCCCGCCGTTCTATGATAAAAATATTTCTCTCTTATTCATGACAGTTTTCATTCTTCTACTCCCAATTTAGATAATCTATATTTGTTCGTTCTCCTTTTTCAGCAAAACGTTGGTATTGTCATTAGTTAAAGACACCTTTAAAATAACTACCAATCGCAATTGTTCTCATATAAAACTACACGGCTGACGTGTACTTAAAAAGAATGTAACTACTATTAGTCCACTTGAAAGTAGTAACCCTACTACATTAACAGGTTAATGTCATGAAAACTACCAAATGTCGTATGTTAGGCACCATTAGCAGTACTATCCACAGAACTCTTAAAATTTACTTTCTCTGAGTGTCAAGGTGATAACCAAAGTGCGAAGATGAGTAAAAATACTAGCTGACGAAGAACTTAGATTATAGACTACGGCTAAAACTTTCTGAAGCTGAAAGCATTCTGACGAAACTGTCCTATACTGCAGCAAAACGCCTTTGTGATTAACTGAACTAATATTTCCAGTTACACACCATCATGTATTTTAAGCTCAACGTTTCCATACGTTAAAACTTGAAAGTCAACATTAGCGGCTACGTCTACATGTGGAAGTGGTCCAACTTTTTTTCATTTCTGCCTAATCATGTAAGGATTTCCTCTTACAGTGGTGAAAGGAAAGAAACGCAATACATTCAACTCAATTCGATGTTCTTCGTCACAGATTCTTACTTATGCTTAGAGCTCGCTTGATATATTTCATAACTTGTTTGAGATATCGGTTTCAATGCAAAACTACATTTAATGGGGTGCACGACCAATAAAAACGTAGGGTTGCTCCTCTTGTTTTGACAATCCGTCAAATATACGTCGTCATATTACTAAATACATGTCAGTTACTAGAAAAACAAACAAGCTACAGGGTTAGAACAGTTGACAATGTTTCCTACTAAGTCATCATACATCAGAACCTCACTGCCCGTTCAAACTTTACCAGAGTATTTTCGAATAGTTTCAAGTGCCGCCATTTAATACATGTGCGCTTACACAGTACATGAAATACTATTCCTTAGAACGACCTTCTCTTAACCCCACCTTTAACACACAAGCTCCTACACACTCAATGTGGTGGTATTCTACTATGAATCAATATTTACGTCACCACTAACATTTCGAAAACGTTCTCTTCCTTGTCTGGAGAATCAAACCAAATAACAACCTACACTAACAAACATTCCTCCAAGCTAATATCAAAACGTCAAGTCTAGTTTTCGGCAAGGTGTTACGAAGCTTGAAGTACTTATATTAGTTGTGCGTCACTTTACTTGTCCAATGCACTCTGTAGAAGCCTATACAAATCAACCGCGCACATGTGTCCTACAAATGTTGCCTCCTTCAATGACGTGAAACCTGCAACAATGTATTAGATGGAGTTTCCTACGAAAGAAGACGGTAAAGTGAAAAACCAAGAAATGTTTCACCACCGCAACTCTAATAACTAAAGTAAGCCGCGCGCGTTGTGGAGTGGTTTCCTCTTCATCAAAAATTATCGACCTCATAAAAATTGAGAGTATGATCGCTCCTTTCCTCGAAACCACCAATCACTTGCAAGATTTGGCTCAGACATGACCATCCTCATCGATAAACAACGGCATTTCGCGACAACTATTTTTGTTCTTGGAAACACAAATCTCAAACTTTAAATATGAAGGCAGTACAAATCCTGTCTACTTACCGGTAGGTTTTAATAACTTGCCTAATTATTTTCCAATTTACGATTGGTTCACTTCATCTGGAGCGGATCAGGTAGCAACATTTGAAGAATGCTCTGGGTAAGAACTTAATCCCTGTTAAGGACAAACAGAAGAAGGCAAAAGATGGCAATAACTACTATTCCGTTATCAAACTTCGTAGTAGGTACTGATGTTTTAACTCTTAAAAATTCTTTCTAAGTCAGACAGGAGTGCCTGAAATAAGTGCCTGCTCATGCTTTGCTTATGGAAACTTCATGATATAACTAAATTTATCTCGACCAATATTCACCCACCAACCATAGATTACCTCAAAGAATTCGATTGCGCCCACCAATTCTGTGGGTTTATTTATCAGGTTTTGTGTAGTTTTACCAGTCAAATCACGAAATTGAATTTAGACTACATGTTTGACCACTTAACTCTTAAGAGTTTTATGCGACTCAGTCAGTGACAACGAAATACACCGATCGAGTAAATATTAAAGGAAAACCTCAACACTGCTCATTAAGAAAACAAAAAGGAAATCATTACTGTCAACTGTGGGCAAAAATACTCACTGGAGAAGCTCCAACAACAACAGTGTGTGCAGCTGTAGCTATATAACCGTCTATATGAACACCCAGATCAATCTGAAACATCAGCAGAATTAATAACTCAAAAGAACAACTTTCTATAAACCTCGGCACAAATAATCGATATACTTATTTATATGCTCCCACGAACTGATCTTGTTGAGCTGATGCGAGGTTGGTGTGGCTATTTGTGCTGTTGGTCGATGGCGGATGTTCTGGCGATATTGCATTCCTCAGAGCCGTGATGTTGCTAGCGGGACTGCCTCGTGAGTGAGCGAGCTCCACTAGCAACATCACAGCTCTGAGGAAGGCAAAATCGCCGAAACGTCAGCCATTGACCAATAACAACAACAAAAACAACGACAACAACAACAGCAACAACAACAACAGCGAATAAGTTCATAACATAGGAACACGTAAATGAATATATCAGTACGATTTTTGTTACCTAATAGCTGTGGAAACATAAAAGCATGCGTGATTAACATTTCTGTGGAACGCTCATTCAATTAATAGCATCTCGATTTTTCTTGATTTTCGAAAGAAAAAGGTAGTGATGAACGGAAAACATGTAGCAGACACTTCCCTCAGAGCATCCATATTGTGAAAGCACAACGATTACAGGATGATTATTCGGAATATTTAAAAAATCTAACCAACTTATTCACCTTGACCATTTGTCCATTTTTCAGTAGAACAGGGGGGTCAGATCGAAGCGGCGAGAAGTGGCATATGCAATGATCCACAGAGATGCAAGTGGGCATCGCAATACCCTACGTAAGCAATTCAAACATTAATCAAACATGAAAAAAAAAGGCGAATCAAAAAGCTTGAAAACCTTTGCAACGTCTTTTTCCTTTATGAACACTTTCGAAGTCCTCTCCAAAATGAGGTTGTCGCCTAATGTACAAAGATAACCGACTTCAACGCCTTCCACCACTTCTGAGATCAGTTTCTAAACGAATACAAAGGATGCAACTACAAGAAGCACTTATGCAAATTATAAAACAGTATAATGAATAAGTAAAGATTTAGCGTCCAGATTTATGCTACTAGTACGACAAATAAAAAAACGAAATGCCCGCAATCAAATCCACAGTAGAAATTACAAACAAGCAAAACATTGGCCCAGAAAAACGATTTGAAGAAGGAGAATTCACAATCGTAGCACTCTGTATGTCAAGCTATTACAGGTCAATTTCGACCAAATGATCACAATGCAGCCATAAAGATACTGAAATATGAGCAAAACTGGGAATCACAGGTGCGCTTCGAACCCGCGACTAACGGGCGGTTATTGATGGCACCGTTAGAGTAAAAAAAAACTAACTGAAAGAAAAAACATATCAGCTCTTTGAATCAGTAATCGCGGGTTCGAAGCGCACTCGACGCTTCCAGTTCTGCTTATATCTCAGCATCACTGTGGTTGTATTTCACGTAATACCATTCCATAAAGAAATAACAAGTAGTAAATAAAACTTAAACATTTTGATAACCGCCACAACATTCCAGAAAACCCACCTTCAGGATCTCGTTAGCCATCTGCGCAGCCATTTGATATTTGTTAACAACCACATCGCTCGAGAGTGTTTCGTCTTCGCGCTGAGACTGTTCAGGACTCGACGAACTGCTCTCGCTGTCCTTACGAGGCATCTGAAAACAAACTGAAGTTGAACGGACAGAAATGACCCCAACCCTTAACTGTAGCTGCATGTGCTTGCAACACAACAAAACAGGAAGATAAAACAAAGACTACAAAATACTAATTAGTTTAAGTTGGGTAATAAAACCAACGGAAAGGTGGAAAAGTTGCTAATGACTGAGTTCTTTCTGCAAAAACTTTTTCGAGTACTCCATACGATAATTTGAAGAAAAAGCTGAAGTTCCATCGACACATAAAAATCTCAACATTTGTCCAAACAAGCGGGCCTCAATAACTCGTCACACAGAAAGCCTAAAGCCTAAAAGTCGACCCACCACACTTTCTATGAGTTAATGAGCTTAAGTGACTAAGGAATAAGAGCAGATAAACGCTACATTCTTCAAAAAACTGAAGGAATACAGCGTACCAATTCAAAGTTCGTCGTGAACGGAGCAGGAACGTGAAAATCAGGGTGTTACGGTAGAATTCAAAACGTTGGCCGAATGCCAATTTTCGACGTTCTGACGATGAAGGGGAATGTCTGGTAATGTCACGTAAGAGGTTGAGGAAAAAAGTGTAGAGCTCTCACGGTGTTGATCAGTCCGTGAGGGATACACTATGCATTCGATTCCATTCGTTGCACCGTCGGAGGTGATTGGATGCATATCTGGCATTTACGATGACTCGCGGTGCCCTACCGATGTATGGAGCCAGTGCGGTCATCCTTCCAGACAGGTTTGGTATCAGTTCCCCGACCCCGGAGAGATGGAGGGCTTTGTGGGCCTGGTGCGCGGGATCGGTCCTACGTATATTGTAGGGCGCTTCCAACCACTGCTCTACCCGCCACCATAGATGAGATGTTACAGGTTCTAATGTGAGAGGCAGTCCGTTCTTACAGTGGATGAAATTGGTGGAGTCACAGCAGAGACAGGCCATGTTTCTGTTAACGGAAATGATGAGAATCGACATCGAGGCCAAGTGGACACGTGCTCAGTGACACCTTGCAATGAGGATCCAGTGGTTTTCTTTTTTTTTTCTTTCTTTGTTACCACCACATATTATCGTTCATTCTTGTGTGGGGAACCAATATTTGTGCCTGGTTTCTGCATATTTTTCGAGAAAAAAAGGGTTTTGTTCTGCTTCGCAGCATTGTTGTAGTCCCGAGTGCAGCAATTCGTAGCGAAAATTTTGGCTAGAGGAATATAAGAATTCTTCCAAGCTTTATTTTCGTTCAAAGTAATGAACTTAGCAAAGCCCTACTACACTACTTAAACTAAAGTACGATTTGACTTTTCACTTTCTTTCAGTAAAGTTCTTGTATTTTAGATATAATCAGCTATAAGCACCTGTTTGATCATCGGCTTACTTGAACCAGACCTTGCTGTTGCCCACTGGGTTCTGCTGTCTCTAGAGATTACAACAGTATCATAGTTTTGTTCTAGAGTCTTCCCGAGGAAGTGGGACAATGTGGTCGTGAGTTTTCCTGTTATGCAGTTGACAGGCCATGGATCACGGTAGCTAACGGATTTTCTACATCGGTGGTTAAGGCCCTTCACGTTTTCGGCAGAGTTTCCCACCTATGATTTCCTTCCACGAGGTAATCTGTCGTTTTGTTTGCGTAATGTCTAGGTGTCCGACAGGTCCTTTAAGACATAAAGAGTCGTCGAAAAGATGGACAGGAGTTGGGTGCTTTCTTTTCTCTCCGTCACCATATTCTCGGGGTTCTGGAAAGATCCCCAACATCTCGCATCTTCTTGGTCAGCTCTGGAGTTGAATCGTCGGAAGCAATCCCTACTTTCTGAACATCTTCTAAGGACTCAATCGAAGAGATGCTCACAGGTATTGAAATCTTTCGTTTTGCGTGGCTAATGCTTGATGTCAAGGTTAAAGCATAAGGCGTTCAGCGTCAGTCAATCTCTGAGGAATATTCCATGATTAAGCATCATTAGATACAATGACTTGTGGTGGCCTACCGCTGTATCGAGTCAGTGTTTGAATTTTCCCAGATAAGTTGAGTACTACTCCAGAGAGATGGAACTCTCGTTGACCGCGGAGGGCAAACCGAGCCAGCGATCGAGCCAGTGTTTGTTGCAGGGCTTCTTTAACCCATGCGCTACACGCGCCTTAAGTACATGAATTCAGCTCTAGCTCCTTAATTTGCAATATGGACATCTGTTCATAGTAGTGAAGCGTTTAACGTATCACCAAGCTATTTGTTCTGTAAGTACTACGAGTTTTAGCTCCCGTCTACTGAGAATTTTTTTCCAGCAAAAGAAGGGAAACAACTTCAACACTGCATTCACTGTACGGTACCTTTTACTCAATTAATACATAGCTTTCATGCAAACATTGTTCCAATTTCAACATTGGCTGAGACCCTATGGAATAGTGAGGCCCCCAAATTGTTGTAATTCGCAACAGAGGAATGCAGAGTATGGAACTTGTCTGGAAAGAAAAGCCACTGATGATTGAAACCTAGAATCAGGTTTGCCAGAGAAGTGGTTGAAATCTAAAATTGGATTTTATCTGCAAAATAAAATACAAAAAAGAAGAAAGCCATAGTAAACACATTTTTTTGCCGCAGTCTCCAAGGTAACAACACCGCAGAATATGTCATCTGCGATATGTCTTCGTAATATGGCGAACAGGAAGAATTTATGCCCGCTAAACATGGACTCCTGTAGCGCAGTGGTCAGAGGTCTCAAACAATGCACACGGGATCGATTCCGGCGCCTCAGGCTCACCAAGCCTTCTATCCCTGTGGGGTCGCCCGGTTGGTACCAGACTTGTCTGGGAGGTTAGCAGCACTGGCTCGATACATCGGTAGACCACCGCGAGCATTGTGAAGGCCAGATATGCATTCAATCGCCTCTGACGATGCTTAGTAAAGTCGAGTGCACGGCGCATCCATTAAGAATTGATCAACAATGAGAGCTTTGCACTTTTTATCCTTTTAAACAGGGATGACTTGTTTGTGCTAAGTGTCTATGACCGCTGGACTAAGAATAGTGCTGAACACTCACTGAAAATGAGTCAAAGGGGCATCCTCAGTGAGTTTCGCTCTCGGGTGCATATGGTTCAAAATGCGAAACCTTTTTCGGAGAATTGTTAATTCGCATGGATATCCTTCGTCTAATGTTCTGTTCGTACTGTTGAGGACGATTCAATCGAAGAATTTATAATTGACAGACAGCCAGCAAATTGGGGAGTAGTTGCTGATCTAGTGTGGTATTCCTTTTCTGTATTTTCCTTCCTTGTTCTTCATCGACATGAGGACATGAGGACATGTCGAATTTTATAAGAAATTTTAGGGTTAAGAACGTGTCCATTCCCCCTAATATAAAGTGGAGGGTGGTTGAAGTGGGTGTATAGGGAACCATAATAGAAGTCATAGATGATTTTCTCCGTTTACCTTCTAACTTCAGAGTCATTAGAATTTTTCAGTTTTGTCTTCCTCATAGATTAGTGTTAGCGTGTACGTAATGAATAATGCAAAATCCGGCATTCTTTTACATAATTTCAGCTATGAAGATCGACGCCGCCGAGTTTACCGTTGCTGTTTCCGAGGAGCAGTTTTTTGGTGTTGTAGACGACGTACAAGTGTACGATACCTTGTCATACCGGCAAGTTCGCTAACGTCATGCTCAGCCTTCTTATCTTGGGTCGTCAAATCTTCAATAGAGGATTTAAACGTAAAGGACAGTGTACGTGCGTTGTAAGTACACATCGTCACGATAGTCTTTTCAGATTTACGCAATGAACAATGGCTCTGAGATTTTAGCAGTGGCTTCGTACTAAGAATACACAAACGATAGTTGTTGGCAGATTTTTATTCTCACTTTTCGTGACGGGTGAGGCCTACTGAAAATCTTATGAGCTACCCCGTAGAGGTTGCGTACATCCATGGGTAGTTTGCCAGTCACAACCAGAATAGTTGGGAAGATGAACGGCCTCCTAACCACCTACCGTTTACAATTCCTAATCACTTAACTGCAGAGGTCGCTTACAATATGCAGATAGGCAAGCACACCGGCACGTAGGCATGAATATGTCAGCGGACGTACAAAAAGCGTACGTCAATATTACACAGCAGAAACAGGATCAAACCTTGTCTAAGTTCCGTCTCAGGACAAAGACAAGGTCTCCACTACCGTGTTTCCTCACTTATCTACTAACTGGAGGTACCTTACCTAGCCTTACAAACAGCAAGGTGAGGATCTGGTGGTAAAGGAGATGCACAGAAAAGAATCCATAAGGAGCTTATGATTTGTGAATTAACCGTAGCATGTATGTAGCGCAGTGACCTCTGGGTATCAATAAAGGGTCGCTTATGTGATCTATCACGTTGCATGTTCGGAAACAATTTTTAATCCTCATTCTCCTAATTTTCCACTGATAGTCTTAAAAATAGGGAGTGAAGCCACTTATATTGTCATTTAAAACCTTCACAATCCATCAAGGTCACATAGATGAGGGTAGGGAGTGGGAATGGGCGGATTGGCTGTCTGAGTGAGACCGATTTAACAGCAGCATATCATTCTATGGGAAGAAGCCTTAAACTTTTCGTTCGAAGTCAGGTAATCCTTCTGTTAATGTGGGCAATTCATAGTTCAGCGGTCCACTTCATTTGTGATATGAGCAGCTAATATTGAAATATTCGCAAATTCACTATAGTGGTCTACACTAAAAGAATCTGAAGAACTTTCTTCATTTGTTTCATTTGCTCATAACCACAGAATTGGTTCATTTTCTGCATGATTTCTGCTTTGAACACGTGAAGTGTTCCATTCTTGCTTACCAATTGGAACAATTTCTTATCGTAATTTCCCCTGAAATCACGTGATAGCAGTACTGCAGCGCTTCCAGGTGATCGTTGCAGACAGAGACCGCCTTGTCCGAATCGGTTTTCCTCCATAAAACCACTGTAAGGATTTAACATACTAGAAACCGTATGCATTATGTTGTTCATCAGAAGATGGTAGAAGAATGAGTGAGGTTCAATAAAATTATAGAACAAGAGCATAAGAGCATTTATTTCATAAACTACAAAATAAGAACATAATCGCTTCTCATAGGCAACCAACACTGGACAACGAACAATCATAAAATAACGTTAACTGCATAACACTTTTGTAATGGAGTTGTTACTGAGACTAGGTGCAGGAAGTCGTACTAGATCACCATGTACCTAGGAAAGAATAGGTGACTATGTAAAAGAACGGTCATGTACCTAAACTATGGAAAAAGAAAATCCACGAGAACTACCAAAAGGAAAGATTTAAATACTCACTAGTTCCCTTGACAACAACATGTCACATCGTTCTTTACGTCTCCACTTTCTTCATAACTATTCTGTATTATTGATTAATCGAAGCGATTCTCAACTCTAGAAACTTCAATCGCTGAACCCGAAGACTACGATGGAAAACAAGAACAAGAAAGAAGTCAAAAGATCAAATAACAAAGCAGTACAAAATAGATACTGCAAAATTAGCAAACCTTCAGCTTAACTCAGGACGTGATTCTTCTCTTCACAAGCGGCAACACTACTAACCAGCCAGAGTTCACCGAAGGCTCAGTGGAGTTCTCTAATTCCACCTATACTTGGACTCTACACAAGTAAACCGTTGGATTACTGATGATAAACGAGTACTTCAAAATCTTAAAAGCATGTGAAGTACTAGTACTAGAACACAGAACTTATGGGCAATAAGGACGGAAACGTTTTCAGTAAGGTTCCACACAATACACAAAGCAGTTCTAAAGATGACTATTACTAGTTACCTTGCTCTATTCATATGTTCACATCAAGTGGACAAAAACATTGTTGAATACCAGACTCGAGTCACTGGAGCTCAGAGAGGCGCAAACTTTAGCCACAAAGAGACATCTCATGTCTACTTCGTGTAAGCTCATGAATGGAGAAAAATACTGACCATTCAAGCAGAAGTTAAACGAACCTTAGCAGTTAAAATGTTGATGGTTATTGTCTACAAATAATAACAACAATGAGGTAATTGTGCTTGAGACCACAAACTAATCACTAGTCTCTAACCCAACAGTGATTAGATACTAAACTTTACGGACGTACTTACATTCGCCTGCTCTCTGCGTCCAAGTGAAGTAGCTTACCGTATGGGAACAATGCTCAGTGGTTGTGTTTCTGCTTGATGCACCACTGTTGGCGCTATAAGGCTGTTTATGAAGGAAAATGTTGAAAACATAGTTTAAGTACTAAAATGTTTATATAATACGCCAAAGCCCTGGAGTAAAACCAGAAATAAAGAGAAGTAGGAAGACCACCTACCTTTTTGCTCAGTGGGTTGACCGGATCAAAAGCACGTAAAATGTTGGTCACCTCGCTCACTAGAAGTCGAAAGCACATAGAACATTTAAATCCACGTAGGTAAAGTAAAAAATGGTAACGAACGACATAGATACCCTTAAAACAATTGAACAAAGCCTAACAATAATGAGATACGACGCATAGTAGATATGTAGCAACTACAAGCTAGAACAATAAAACAAATAGTAAGTGTAGGAAGATAACAACGAATTTCTTTAAGTGTGCTAAGTTCTCAAATCTACAAGTTATTACTCAACGAAGAAACTGTAGCGAATTGCAGAAGGTACAACATCGTGCCTTATGCCAGAGGTGGAGAACTGCATATCATTACGGAAGGGATACCGTGTTTAATTTTCAATCAGTTACTCATTGATAGAGGCGCGTGTGGCGTAGTGGTCGGAGGGGCAATTCGACACACACACGTGGGATCGATCCTCGCGCCTCTAGCTCATCGGTAGGCAACCGCGAGTTACTGCAAAGGCCAGATATGCGTTCGATCACCTCCAAACGATGTTTTTAATCAAGTCGAATGCATGGTGCATCCCTCAGGGATTGATTAACGCCGAGAGCACCCTCTACATACTTGGACAATTGGATGGCCTTCTTCGCTGATTGTACGGTCCCCAGCATAGCTTCCATTTTTTCGGAGTTTTGCTGGTTTAGTCACTGCTGCGGTTCCCTGAAGTCCAGAGATCAGGCTAGCCTAAGTCTGCCCCACGTCAACACCACCACACCACAGGTATTCGCCATCATTTTGCCTTAGAAGAACATTTTCCATTATATGACTAATTTGATGCTAATCGCACTTATGGTTGCTGCCAGCGGTTCGACTACGAAACGAAACTTATGATGCATTCTAAACCGTAATTCGATTTCGTCTTCCAAAGGCACTCTCTTCAATCCAGCTTACATTACGCTCTATTTAGCTACGTTTTGAAAGTGATTTATCACCTCAGAACGGACTGTATAAAAACAGTCCAACCGTTCAATGGTAATAAAAAAGGTTGAGGAACTCGGATGGAGAGTACGGTACTACATCGAGCAACAGTCATTATCCCCTCTTTTCTGCAATTTTTAAGTGCCTGACTTTCTCATTATCTCGCATTCAAATTTCGCATAACTTGTCCAGCCAGGCTTATGCAACCCACGCATCCAAGCTTTTTACAAACACATATTTAGCGAAACATTTTTCTTACAAATGCTGCCTTATGCTCATCACAAAGGTCTGAATACTACTGACCATCCAATTTGCTGAGCGGTAATGAAGATTGAACATGACGGGAAATCGAAACGGTACATCTGCTGAAGTCGCTTAAAAAGATAACAACAGTGTTTATGTGCACAGCTACACAAATCATATTCTTTTATACACGAAAAAAAAAACAGAAAAAATAGCTATGGATTACTGTAAAATCACCAGTAATTATGAGAAGAATATGAGAATCACTTGATCAATTCCGAGGTTAATAGAAAGTCGGTCGTGGCAGTTACTGCAAGATGTACCAGCAAGATACTTCCGACTTGTAAAAGAAGCGCTGTCGCTGAGACAAAAGATCGTCTTAGCTCGACATTCAATACACTTTTTCCGCCGCTGTCTAAAACATCAAGTCGTTCCGAACTTCATCAAACGAAGACGCCTACACGACGTATGCGGTCTACCAGAGGAGGTCTACCGTCCACCGAGTATTGGACGTTGAATTGCGAATACTACGCACTTGTCTACGAAGCCGACAAAACCAGATGTTCGCCAAGTGGAAGAAGTGCGAGACGAAGGAAAACTTTTGTGCTCAATATTTGGAGAACCACCTCTGGAGGAGAATAGTGGGCGGGCTCTGAGGAAGGCGAAATCCGCCGAAACGTCAGCTTAACCGTGAACAAAGAATAATAACACCTCGCGTTTGCTCAACAAAAATACGATGAAAATTATGAGAAGAGTTTTTGCCGTAAAGACACAGACCAAAGATCATAGAGCTCTAAAGCTCTCTAAGGCTCTAGGGCTTTATGATAAAGCTAAAGCTCTCGGCATTCACCTATTCCTGAGGGAAGTGCCACTTCAAACTTCATTAACGTTTCGAGCCGTCTCTGCTGCACTACGACCGAGTTTGATCTCATAAAAGAAAATTTCACTAAAATTCGTTCTTGACATCTAAAATTGCAAAGCTGAAAATTAGCAGAAGAAAATCCAACTTTTGAAAAAATATAGAAACATGGTTAGAAAGAGCATATAATCAGCTTTTTAACGGTGTATAATATTGAGAGGTACAAAAATAGTTCAATGGTAAAAAATACATTAAAACAATAAGTATTTTAGAATGCTCATTTATTTCCGAACAATCTAATACAAACGAACAAACACTTCACAAAGCATTAAGAAGACATCATTAGGTACAATATATTCATGTCTATGTATATGCCAGATGATACAAATAGTACAGGATCTAGTGATTCGGCCACATACCAATTACAGATTACGGATTTTCATAACCTGGAATATTATGCAACCATAGATTAGAATCACGATGAATGTTGCACTTTCACGGGTTGAGAACAATAGTTTCTTCCATGCCTACATTCGAGTCGTTGGCACCTGTCTGCTTATATGGTGTAAGGTCGAATGTGAGCACACCGGATGAAGAGCAGGCGGACGGCTCAGGAAAAATTCCAATTAAGGCGTCTGCCTAGAATTAGATAATAGGAAAAGGATTTGGAAACAAATATAGTATATCCAGCAGGTACAGGAAGTGTAGAGATTGTATGTAAACTTCTAGTAGTCCCTACTTCACCGAAAAAACCTACTTTGTTGTAGAATTCTTCTTTCAACGAGATAATGATGATTTGCATCTCATTTCGTGCAGATTCACATATAAAGGACGATACCTAGACATAAATGTGCAAGAAGTTTAGAATGAATGTTAGTGTTAAATAAAAAAATGTAGGTGTCAGAACCTTTCCTATATTTGTATTGTCGAGTGCGGCGTCAATCTCGTCGAGAACAAAGAATGGAGACGGATTCCGTGCATGCATTGCGAAAAGAAGTGCCAAAGCTGCAACTGTCTTCTCCCCTCCAGAAAGATTATCCATTGGTCGGAATCGCTTGCCAGGTGCAACGCAGTTATACTTAATAGGAATAAATAAACACAGAATAAGTACAAATTATGGGAGAAGTTTCTGGAATGCTCCAGTAGAAAATGTTGTCATCCTGATTTTGAAAAGTACACTTGGTCTTGATATAACTAAAAGTTCTTTCATGTGTTACCTGAATACCCTCCAAATACGGTTCCTCCATATTATCCGCGCCAAGAAAAGCTTGTGCACTAGCATTTCGTGATAGAGACTGAAATATACCCTGCATTTCTCGCTGCTTATCAAGACGTCTCAAAAGTAAGAATACCTTGTAAATCTCATCGATCTTTTGGCTCACAGGTTCAAAACACTCTTGAAACTTGCGATAACGTTCACTTTTTACTTTTTCAAAATACCCACGGATTTTTCTCGCCTTTTTACGTGCTATCTCGCACTCCTCCGTTGTTTCGGCTTCACGTTCCTTCACTTCTTCCATCCTAAGTTATAATAGTTATTAAAATACAATCACAAACAATAAGGTTCTTTAGATTTCAGCATGCAGAAATCTAGTTGATCCACAAAAAGAGCAACTAACAAGAACATAATGAATAACTACTAAAAAAACTATACCTCTGACTTGCTTTAAGGTTAGGTGCACTTAGACGTGATAAAGTCGCCTGAGCCTCGTTTATTTCCTTATTCATCCGTTCCACGTGTCTCCTAACTTCTTCTTCGTCTTTTAACTGAAAGCAAAATAAAAGGAATACCCTGCGCATAGAAATTTTTGAATTAGGTGTACAAGAAAGAAACTAAACTCTCACTTCTTTTAAATTTTCTGGCAATTGTCTGTAATTGACTTTTATTTTTGACTCCCGTTCAAGTTGTTCCTGCGAAAGATTGATGGAATTCGAAGGCTGAGTTCCGTCCCCATCTTCAAAAATTTTTTGTACAAAAAAATCATTCATAACAAGATTGTTCGAGAATTGATTCACCTTCTTCTTCTTCGGCGTCGACATCAGCTAAGCTTCCTGATACCAACGGGACCTGGACCTGATTTATCTTTGCTGCATGTAATAAAGCATGTCTATCAGCCTGTTTCCTATTAACTACGCTTTCTAAAGCCAACACTGCCTTTTCAGCACTTGTCACATCACGTTGGGCAACCTGAAACGGAGAAATCTTGGGCTGGTGTTATTCTTTACCGTTGTTAATTACAGCCGTCAAAGAATCAAAACCAAGAATCAAGAAACTTCTAAGGAATTATGGTCTATTGTCACTATGAGTGAAACGAAGCGCAAACAAACTTAGTATGCAAACCTGAGCTTCCTTCTTCACAGCGGCAAGCTCGGATTCATATTGTTCTTGTTCGGTTTTCATCTCCATAGCTCCAACTTTCAACTCCTCCATATCCTTTTCCAAACGACTCAGAATATTACCTTCCTTTGTTTCTTTCTTCTTCAATATATCCAATTCTTTCTCGAGATTTTTCACCTATAATTTTAAATGACTGTCTGAACGCTAAACACTTGCATACTCGAAAATGCACTAAATAAAATAGAAATAAACACTGGAAAGCTGTGGTAGTAATAAAAAGCATGGAATGAAGAAGTCTTAATTTAGTTGTCACACCTTATCGACTTCCTGCTTCACCTTCTTGTTTCTATCCTCAGAACGCAGGTACTCAATTTCATTACGGATGCGATCAAGTTCGTTGTCAAACTCTCGCATTCGACCAATTTTTTCCTGATGAAATCTAAACAAATCAAAAAATCAATATATCACTAGAGGATGAAAAAATCAATTCACCTCATTTCGCGTTCCTCGTATTCACGAATATTTTTGATCCCAACTTTGCAACAAAAATTGGCAAAGACCTAAATAAGTAGAGCGCTCAAAAAGTGTTCTACTACACACATAGAAATTCCCATGAACAAAATACTGACGTCATCAGCAACAGCATTACTCTTCTCTTCCAGTTTCTTTATCTCTCTTTCTCGTTCTATCATGCGTTCTTGTATTTCTTCGATTTTAGGCTGAAAATTGTGTTTGAGGGTATAGTTGGTTACTCAAAGAGAACTGGAAGCAAATGTAGCGACCACAAAACACTTACAGGAATAACACTGAGCTCGGATTCAAGCGATTCGAGCTCAAATGTTAGCTTATTGAGAGTGTCAGTTTCACACTTGGTCTTCTCGAGCTGCATATTTCGAAGGCGATATTCTACGGACGTGAGCTTGTTTCTGGAATGGAACGTGTTTTTGGTTTCGAAAAGAAATTTCTAGAAAATCTCCTAAACAAGAGCTAGTTAACTTTTTTTTCGTTTTGAAAGAAAATTTTAATAACGCCACCTCTGCATTTCGACATCCAATTCCTTCCTCCGAGTTCTATGTAATGTGTTGCTCTCCTCCACAAGTTGCGCACGGCGTTCACGTAATTGTCTGAAAAAAATATAACAAGAAATGAACGTTAAAACATGAACGAGTACATGCCTATCTAAATCAGTTAGAAACCATAACTGTAAAATGCACCTTAGAGCGTTCTCGTCCCATTTTTTTGCACGTATTTTCAGTTCGTGGCTACCACCTCCTATCACGCCGCTCTGTTGAAACATAGTACCATCCAAAGAAACAGCTTTGTACCTAAAGCTCCATACATATATTTAACCACCAGAGAACGCTTGATATTCATTACAGATTTTATCCACATTAGCCCAAGGATTTTTGTTTATTAAATTAGTAAAGAACAACCTATCGCCTCCGGCACTTCCATACGCAAGTGTTCTTGCGTCCTCTGCCGTTTCACATATAAGAGCATTACCACACGCAAATTGCAAAGCTTTCCTTGCAGCTGGATGGTTACACTACAACAGTATTTAGTGCAGCTAATGCAATTCACAGCGACAAGTGCAGAGATAACAAAACAACTGACTTGAATAACGTCATAGACTAGTTTCACTCCTTTCGGGTATGTCAATTCCCGCAGTTTCTCATTAATAGGATGCACGTCAAGGCCATGATGAGGTAGAAAAGTTTCGGGGGGATAGCGTTGCTCCTTTACAACACCAATTATGATTTCAAAGCTCAAACATTAACATGAAGACGTACACAAAATAGCGGGTAGTTAGCGGCACGATAATTATAATAAGACATCAAATAGCACTTATAATTAAAAAGTGATGAGATGACAAGTAATATCACCTTCAGGTACATAATAGCATCCCTTGCAGTCTCCTCCGAGTCGCAAACAATACTCATCATGTGTTTTTGCAGCACTTTTGTTACAGCCAAATGAAAACGCTTATGGCTTGGTTGGCAGAGATCCACGAGTCGACCATGAATCTAGAACAGACAAATATACGAGTACAGCATCATCAGCATGACTCAACCCAACATTCCCCTGTTGCGTTCCCACTTCACAATTCACCAGCTCTGGACCACTAAATGTTATAATAGTAAGATGTTTTACGGTTACCCCTGTAGGTGAATTACCTTATTCAAAGCTATAGATGGTTTATTATCTAGCAGAACAAAGCTCTTTGGCACGTGAATTAAAACTCAATATTTGTTGCAAAAATGTTAAGTCTGAGGACTCTAAATCAACATACGTGGAAATTTCAGTAAAGTGAAGAACAGTAGCGAAAATAAAGTCAGCTGTAGTTTGTACCACCACCAAAAGTATAGGAAAAACATGATACTTAGAACTGGGTTGCAGTAAAATAAAAAGAGACGCAAAATGAGCAGCAGAGAAAACACAACAGTTCATACTTTATATAACAACTGCCTTAGAAGATAATGTGACAGCGTGAGCACCACACGATCAGTAAATGTTTTTAAAAAAGCCACAAGGTTAAAGAGAATACACTTTTAAATAATCTGCTCTCGAAAAGAACAAGCAGTTACGAATAAGATGTAACTACGAACAATAATATGTACACTTACCTTCTCCGGGAATACACGTTTGAGATTCTCAATAGCTTCGTTGCGTCGCCGTACTCTTTCAGATTCCGCAGAATCACCTGATGCATCCGAAAGCTGTTTGTTAACTTCATTTAACTCAATGGACACCTGACAACAACTACATGAAAAGTATGTGAAAGAAAACTGAAAAGTTCTCTTCAAGATGATAAAGACCTTCTCCAACTTCTCCTTGCTTTCTTTGACTTGTTTTTCCATTGTTACCAGGCTCGCCTTCTCACTATTGAGAACCACCTTCTGTTGTTCAGTGTTCTCAGCAAGATATTCTATCTATATAATAAAAAGGTAAAAAGCAAATGATAACTCATCCTAGCAAAACCTCTTTGCCATACAACGAAGCACTACCTGCTTTTTGAGCCGTTCAATTTCCTGTTTCTTGTTTTTTATCTTTTCTTGCCAAGCCTTCATACGACGCTCCTCATTCACTTTAGAACTAAAACATGCCATGGTAAACCAAATAGAAGAACATTTTAGAAAAAGAATACACTCTGCACAATAAGACACCGAAATAGTTCGCATCCTGGCATTTTATATGTAACTCCTCATATGGAATTTAACCACATTAGCAAAAATAGACTCATCAGAGTACAGCATACATACAACCACTAGGCTTACCTCCTATCAGTTTCATGTTCTTGTCTCATGGAGTTCAGTTGCATGTCCATTATTCCCGATTTTTTGCCAGCTTCGCGTTTCAGAGAAACATACTCATTTATCTGCAAACAGCGATGAAAAGGGATAAGAACGTATTGGAAAGCAATGAAAGGAAAAACAACAACAAGAGAACTAACAAATACTCAAAAGGGTTACTGCTTAAAAGGCGGATATACGTGTGCTCACCTGTTGTTCGTTTAGATGCAGATCCAGTTCTTGACTTTGTGACTCGAGTTCAGCCTCATATTCCTCTTTTTTCTTTTCTAGTTCCCTTAATCACATGCAGTAAATACAAACGTTGACATTAATACCAAGGTTGCGTAATCACCAATTTCCATAAATGTTATCCTGAACTATCCTCTGAATGATAAATGACAAAGTTCGACCACGATTATCAAACCGAAACGCATTTATCGTCGAATATCAGACATAAATTACTGGACATGACAGTAAGTTTTGCACGTTTTTCACTATTTTTTAAGCCTCTCATAGAAGTGACGTCACCCAAATTATCAAACAATGGGTGTTGAAAATGACGAGAATCAAATGATAAAAACAACTTGTCTTTATTACAAAAACTGACTACGATAAGAAGATTCTACGAAGAAGACGGGATTTGGAGCTGTATACCATAAATCCATGGATCTTCCTCATATGAGGGATCTCGAGCTGTTTAGACGCGAGGCTACGTGGCGCGTCCCCAGGTGACGGAAAGGGGTCGCGGACCAAAAGCGACCTTTGCTTCCCTGAGACGCAGGTAGATCCAGGAGATGGACTCCCTGTTTCTGCTGCTGTGCCGATTTGGCAAGTACTTTCTGTTTCTGTTAGGCGTATTCATGCATACGTGAGTAGGTGCGTTCTTACTTATGCGGATTGTATTCTACGAGTCAATTCGGCCAAAAGCCTGCAATCGTGTAACTGGGAAGTATATAGGAGGCGGTTCTGGGAGAGCCTGGCAAGCTACCCGTGAGTATACACAGCCCCCAAGTTCTGACTCCATCTGACTCCATCTGATCAAGGCCATCCATGGTAACTAGCAATTCCAGAAGCCTCATCCTCAACGCTGAATGTCGGAGCCTTCCAGTGGAGATTACCATTGCAGATTACCATAATAAAATATACATCATAGTAAATAAAAGGTTTTGCCTAACCAATGTCGCTGTTGTCCCATAATTCTACACGGGATCACACTATCGTCTCCGTGCAAGATTCTATTTCTCGCCGAAAGGAGAAAAAGTCGCTAAATTCCAAAACCGAAGTCACAGAACCACCGCGAACTGGGACTTATTCAATTCGTTAGTCGACTGTTGGGTAGATGCCGTTGTCGATAACATCGACGAGGAGCATGGTCGGCTCATTCGACATCTTAAGGCTAGTGCTATTAAAGCTGAGAATTCGAAAAACACTAAGGGACCTCTGTCTATAGAAACAAGCTGATGGAATCGTGGAATCGCAGCAGCAGCAGAAAAAAATTGTGTACGTATAGTAAGGAAGCTTTTGAAAATAGGTGAAACCACAGTTACAATTTCATGTGCCAAGCAGAACTGAGTGACAGGGACGAAGACAAAGTTCGATATATCTTCCTGTTTCAAAGTAAAAATCTGTAAGATGATAATTGAGAGAAAGAAACAGAAAACAAACTTAGCCGATTTCTCAAGCATCTCCACTTGCTCTTCATTTTTCTCAGCTAGTTTCTGGGCAGCGTTCAATGTTTTATTACTGGTTTCCAGTTTCGTTTTCACATGCAGTGCTTCCTGCTTCACTTGGACATATAGTGGGCGCTGGTGTGAGATCTCTCGCTCCTACAATCTCGCTATTTAAATAAAGCTTCTAAGAGGTGATTCAATATCAGCTTTTCCAGTAATGTTCCCAATAACTTGTAGTTCCATGCTATGGAATAGAACACCAAAATTGTCAAAACAAACACTAACACTGCATACAGAAAATCGCTATATAATTGTAGAGACGAAGACAAATGCTAGTCCAACCCTATGATTTAGATAAACCCCACACACCTTGTCACCAATTTCCTTCTCCAATCTATGAGTATCTCGCTGCGCTCTCTTCACCAGTTTCTGTTTCTCATTTACTAACTCGTCAGTCTCATTCTAAAAAAACTGATTTGCAGCTAACAACGTAGCAACCGTTTATTATACCATTAAAACAAGGCCTATATAGAAAAGGAACAGCTCATAAATCAGACCTTTCGGGCTTCCAGTTCAGCTACTTGTTTTCTCTTTTGCATTAGTTCTTCCTCAGCTTCTTTACCATGACGTTCGCAATAGAATAACTCGAGTAGAAAGAGGAGTCGTTGTTTCGCGGCCTGAATGGAAGATGTCCACAATGATTGGAGTTAAAACTACGAAATTATAACAACTGTTTCAGCGAACACTAACTAAATCATCTTTCATGTGTTGATATTTTTCAGCTTCATCGCGTTCCAACTTGGCTTCTCGCTTCTCCTGAGCAATGCCACGTCGCTTGTTCATGTTTTGTTGGGCATCGTCTTCCGCTTTTTGCAACTCTGCCTTCAGTCGGTCGTATTCTGGTTGAAGTTCACAGGACCTGACAACATTCTATTGTAGCTAGGCATTAAAATCCCGAGGTTCTTGCAAAATATCCTTCATAACATCTTTAACTTCAATGACTAACACCGTGACCTAATTATAGCATCTGAAATGCCATGATCAAGAAAAGTGCTCACCTCGAGATTTCTTCGAATAGAGCTGTGCGTTCCTTAGGGTTCTTCATAGCGATAGACTCTATTTGACCCTAAAACTTAATTCTTCAAACAGCAGATAGTACGCTTGAACCGGGCGCGTGTAGCGCAGTTAGCGTGGTTAGAAGCACCCTGAGATACACATGGGCGTGATCCTGCATATCAGGCTCACCAAGCCTTCCATCTATTCTGGGTTGGCAAATTGCTACCAGACTTGTCTGGGAGGATAGGATTAGTAGATTCGACACACCGATAGGCCATCGAGAGTTGTTGAATAGGCAAGATACGCATTGAATCACCTCTAACAATGCTACGAATGGAGTTGAATGCATAGCGTCTCCCTCAGGGATTGATCACCGCTGAGATCTTCATCCTTTTGACCTTTTAGCTTCAACCGATAAAGTAGATAATAAAAGAAAACAACAAAAGCAAACACTGTCACGTACAAATCCCTTGCCTGATACACTAGAAAATTCTTTGCCTTAATGAAAATCTGGATGCTCTCCATCTCATGGTTATACTGCTGCACAGAAACAACCTGGAATTTACACAGAGGCAACCGATAAAAGCCACTATAAAGTAGGAAGGCTAAATGCGGATGTAAACAAAACCCGCCTTAAAGATTTAAGCTTCCGAAACACATAATATCTTTAAAAAACCTAACGAAGATCAAGAGAGATTTAGGATCGATAACTATCACAAAAAAACTCAAAAGCCGAAAAAAAGAATGAAATGCACATACAATTTCAAAGAAGAATACCGTAAAAGAAATTGTTTCAAAAAGAAGTTGATAAATCAAACTAATGAAGACCTTTCCATCTACACGGAACTCAGAACCGGCATTGGTTACCGAACGAGTGAAGCTTCTCATCCGTCCATCATCTTCTTTGTAATTTAAAGTGACAGAGCAACGATTAGACACTGGCTTGCCTACTGGAGCTCCATGAATGAGATCCTAGATGTAAACACTAAAGGCTCCAAAACCTGTGGTACATTAGAAGCCATAACGTAGATCAACTGAATTCAGTCGTTTCAATTAATCGACTAATCAGTCAACCAATAGCTGAAACTTACTCCCAATTTCTTTACGCGTAAACTCGTAGCCTTTTCTCCCAATACGAAACTGATTGCGTCCATCAGATTCGACTTACCTGAAAAACCGACGTACCCATTGAACTAAATTTAATAAGCTGAGTCGGGATAAAAACTAGCGCTAAATATTCGTACCGGAGCCATTTGGCCCAATAATCGCCGTGAATCTTTTGAAGGGACCAATGACTTGTCTTCCTCGATAGGATTTGAAATTTTCTAATTCTAATGTATGCAGTAGTCCCATTTTATACCTGAAACAGTATTTGGCGAACAATCCCTGTAAAAAAGTTGAATACAACCGATAAAAGTTCACAGATGGTGGGTTTATATACAAAGGAATGAAAAATGTGCATGTGCGTGTGTATACATTCGAATGCGCGCATATATACCATGTGTGCATACATGTATATCCATGACACACATACATTCGCATATACAGGTGGTATAAAACTAATTAAGAACAATTCTCACTAAGTAAACGTTCAATGGAGTAAAAGCATTAGCATGCTAATTTCAAATATGGTAAAAGCACGCCAGCGCGCATTGTCTGCATTTTTGCGTATGAAGAAAATACGAGTGCTGAGTGCTGAAGGTTGGAGCTTTCTCAAATTGATATCCAGTAGGGCTAGTCCTTTCTACTATGTGTATTTCCGTCATAAGTCAAGTCCGGGCCATCTTAAGCAGCACTTTATTGCTGTGCTTTTTTGGTCAGGAATGGAGGGTAGGATAAATGGCTGATGGGAGTGTTCAGCAACAGTGGCAGTTGACATCAAGCCTTACTATTCCATTTCTGTCTAAGGTGGAACCACCAATAATCGCTCCTCGGCCATTAATTTACAGTAAAGGTATGGAGGATTGTTTTGTGATCTGCTGTGCGCAACAGGAAATAGAGAACTGTTTTGAACGAACAGTCAGAGTACATGAAATTCACCGGAGAGGAACCGAAAGAAAGCTGAGTTCCGTCTTTGAACGTTGAAATGAACTTCAAGGGTCTTCGAAGTGGACTACCCAGAGAGGCTGTTCAAGTTTCCCCTAATGGCAGAGAAGGCAGAGACGGTGATTGTATGAGCTCAGGTACGGTGTATGTAATCCCTTCTAAAGATTATGGTTGGCGCTCTGCGTCCACGCTTAGTTGCGAAACTTAAAATCGAACAGAACGCTTCATTGGGCATATCTAGGATGCGAAAGCATCATCTGTATCACCTGTCACCTGTAGTCCCGTTGATCGTCGAGTGACTCGAGCGGGCGCCAGTGAATCTTCCATTTTTCCCTGTCGCGTGCAATAGTAGCCCAGTGGGTTCTGCTCGCTCTAGGAACTCGTCGAGCATCATATCTTTCTTCAAGGCTTTTTGTGAAGATTTTGACATCCCGAGGAATCCAGTCACTAACGACTCTTGTCCATCGGTTGCCATTCATACGCATTACGTGTCCGGCCCACCTTATCTTAAATGTTGAAGTAGAAGTCACTATTTTCACACAGGATCTGAGAACTTAGCGCGCCAAACTCTCAAACCATCCTGGATAAGTTCCAATAGTCCAAAAATCAACTGCAAGGAGAGATTGCCTTGTTATCACACGTCATCTAATTTAATACTTCACTCAGAATGATAGTTTGATGTGAAAGGCGTCCAGGTACAGGTAATAGGATAAATGAAATAAAGGTAGATTTCTACAAGTTTAATCCCTATGATCTCCGAGATTTCCGGCATTTTGAACAAGATGATTATTAGAATCAAACTCGGTCAGGGAATCACGTCTTATACAAAGTACTTCTTATGCATAATGGAGATATTTGTGAGGAAAAGAATGGAATCACTAAAAAACGATAGTCAGAACCTTCTATGACGTTTCTGGCAGCACGTCAAGACAGAAATCTTCCACTGGTCGAGAGCGTTCACTTCTCTTTAGGTGTGTTGTCACATGGGTTGAGAGAAATCTTTGTGGTTTCTTGTCTCGAAACTAAAATCGGTAGTCACGTTGTCCGGCTCCGTGTTCCCGCGTCAAAGTGAGATATCTCTTACAATCTCTTGCGACTTTTCGTTAACAGAATTTAGGAGCACACGTACGGAAAATGTAGAACAAAAAATATTTGTGCGTGTAACTATCCCGCTGTTCACATATTTACAACGAAGCTGTTAATCTGCCAATGTCCCATAAATTTTGGATGACTAAAGCATCTGAGCGCCAGAAAGCTTTCATCCATCGCTCTAACGATGTAGATGATTTTTGACATGTTACTGTAAGACAAAGATGGGTTTCTCGGTTAATTCGTGTGCTGGAGACTTTTATTGGTGGTGGAGTTAAAACCTCAAACAGGGGTAGTTAAAATCTTTACAAAACAATATTAATACAAGGCGCCATCCGGGTCTGGTGGTGAGGCGCGCTACTCCCCGGAAAGGACAATAGCGCGCGTTCGTTTCCCACTGCATACACCTGCGGTCCGGAACTTTGCAAATGTCTCAGCATCATTGAAGTTATATTTCACAATGTATATCCTGCCGTTAAGAAGAGTAGGCAGTAAATAATAAGTTGAAACCCTTCTAACCTTTTTATTTTACAACCTTAATGATGCTGAGATATTTGCAAATCTCCGGAATGCAGGTGTCTGCGGTGGGGATCGAGCCAGATATTACCCTTTCCGGGGACTAACGCGTTCATCACCACACCATGCGGGTCCTTCGTTTCTTCTGTATCTCAACCAGTTCTTCTATTTACCAATGCCATGGAATTATTATTAATACAACAATAATAATAACTAGGTTAAACAGTGAAGAAGATTTCTGTAGGAATTAGGAGTAGCTTTAATGCACCTGTGTACAAAACGGAGTGTTCCTATCATGTAAACGAGGTCAGAACTGGTTGTATTGGTTGAGTAGTGGAATATAGCACGTCGAGTCAGTCCACTGCACCGAACGATCATTAGACCGAAGTAGACGCCTCGACATTGTGTGAACTTGCGTAGTAACGATACATCCGAGCTGCATACTATGACACAGTGAGGTTAACACATTAAAGAATATATATAAGCTTAAGATAACATTGCAATGAGGTCAACATAGAATAGTGACCACATGCATGTAAGGAATAAAGGATACATGTTTCGGTGTTGATCAATCCTTGAAGGATGCGCCATGCGTTTGACTACACTAAGGATCGTTCGAGGTGATCGAATGCATATCTGGCCTTTATCAATGACTCGCGGTGGCCTACCAACGTATCGATCCAATGCTGCCATCTTCCCAGACAAGCCTGATAGCAATTCGCCGTCCGCGGGAGCGATGGAGGGTTTGTTGAGACTGGAGCGCGGGGATCGATCCTATATGTGCTGCAAAGCGGCTTTAACCACTGCGCTACAGGCGTGCAGGTACAGTTAACAATTAGGATTTTCTACATGGAGTAAAGCAGTAAGACAGATACAATGATTGTAAGAATTCTAGTCGAATGAAATGGATAATGATGCAAACGGCACGAAGAGCTATGTTAGCAAATAGTGTGGCGTTGTAATGCGTGAATGGGACGGCGAAAATCGCCGAGTCGAGCCACCATGAGATATTGCCGTGCCCGGTGGCGTTCCCGGCAGTTATGGAGAGGTAACAATGTCGCACCAAGACGCTTACCGTGGTTTACGTAATTTTAAATGCAAATGCTTGCATAATAACAGTAAATAAACAAAAGGGCGCATGTAGCGCAGTGGTCGGAGGCGCTCTGCAATACATACGGGATCGATCGCCGCGCCACAGGCTCACTAGGCCTTCCATACCCCGGAGTCGGAAAATTGGTATCAGACTTGTCTGGGAGGATAGCAACACTGGCTCGACACATCGGTGGGCCACCACGAGTCATTCTAAGGGCCAGATATGTATTCATTCACCACCGAACGATGCTTAACGAAGTCGAATGCGTGGCGCATCCCGGAGGGATTAATCAATGCTAAGAGCTTTGTTCTTTATGCTTAAACCGTAAATAGCGTTGACAGGAACTGTAGACACGAAACTAATGATCTGAGAGACTGATGCATTATCATTAGCAGTACAGAAGCCATTTTCTACAAGGTATACTGCTTATGGGGAGGTAGAACTCAACAATTAAATTCTACTTCGTAAAATGAAGCGATGAGAAAAAGATGGAAGAGGAAATGAACTGAGTCTGTGCAAACTGAAGAGTAATTAATGATGCTACTCATGTTTGGAGTATGTGGAGAGAAATATAACTCGTATATAATGCTGAGATATTTGCAAAACTCCGGCCCGCAGATGTATGTGGTGGGGAACGAACGCGCGCTATTGTCCTTGCCGGGGAGTAGCGCACTTCACTACCACACCATCCGTGTCCTTCATTTTGCCTGTCTGTCAGCTAGTTCTATTGATCTTTTGCCATCAGCAGTCACCCGTCAACGGGGTTGGTCCGGGAGCCCAAATCGGTATTGAACCCAGTTAAGCTGAGGCTTAGTTATAATCACAATCTTAACCCTATCTGAGAGACAGGCAAAATGAAGGGCCTGGATGGTGTGGTGGTGAAGTGCGCTACTCCCCGGTAAGGACAATAGCGCGCGTTCGTTCCCCACCGCATACACCTGCGGTCCGCAGTTTTGCAAATATCTCAGCATCACAATGTTATACCTTTTTATTTTCTGCCTACTATAATTTCGCGGCAGGGTACTAAGCGAAATGCAACCACAACGTTGCTGAGATATTTACAAAACTCTGGACCGCAGGTGTCTATGGTGGAGAACGAACGCGCTATTGTCCTTTCCGGGGAGTAACGCGTTCACCACCACACCATGCGGGTCCTTTGTTTCGCCTGTCTCACAGCTATTTCTATCGATCTTTGCCACAGCAATCACCCGTCAGCGGGAATGATCTGGGGCGCCCAAATCGGCATAGAACCCAGTTAAGCTGCAGCTGTAGTTGAAATCACAATGTTATACCTTTTTATTTTCTGCCTACTATAATTTCACGGCAGGGTACTAAGCGAAATACAACCCCTTTTTTTAAGGCGAAACCGCCGAAACGTCAGCTGTTGTATCCTAATAAATTCTATAATGACAACCCCATGTCTGCTTATTGAAAAACATCGAATTATCAATTAATACCGAGGTTAACAGTAGTCGGTCTTTGGAAAAGACGATATTAGCTGACACATTTTGACTCGGAATAGATGACAGCAGCCGATTCCTGGTGCGCGTGCATTGGTGCCAATGCATGTTGTAGCGAATATGTCATCTCAGCTTAATGACATTTTGGCATCCGTTTCAGTCGCTTCTATTATTCATGCAATCCGATTTACGATAGTAAAGTGGGTTAAATACTTGTCGAGCTCACCATTAGCAGTTGATGGTACCCACAATGTAACGTCGAAGTGGGAGATGTATGGCGAGTTGAAATGACAAAATTCTACTTAGTTTATTCGATAGACAACGGCTGCGTCTAGAACTGGGTGTGAACTTCTATAATCCCTTGATACGACCTTCCTACGCAGATACCAAGGACACCGTTAACATTGTTCATGGAATTAAGCCAAAATCAGAAATTCCTTACACTCTGTTCGGTATGAACCACATATGAATACAAGTGGACCATGTCCTTTTTGATTTCCCGTACACCACCGAAAACCACCGAAAATCGCAATATTGCAGTTCCTTCTTCACCTCCTTCTTGATGACCAATGCGCACCCGAATGTCATTTGGTGAGGCAATGCACTATTAGTTTTCGCTTATTAATCTAGCCCACTACTCTACAATATTAAACGGACACAGATTTCACCGAGCAACCTGTTCTACTAAAACCAGACAATACGTGGATACTTGGATGCCATGTCTTCACTGGTTGCGCGAGCCCCAGCATAATTTTCATTTTTCGGAGCATTGCTGGTTTAGCCCTTTTGGTAACCCGGAGTTCCGAGGTCAGCCTGGTCAAAGTCTACCCCAGGTCATCACCACCACAGGCGGTCGCGGCCCTTGTGGATGAAAGGGAGATTTGTCACGTTGAGATTATTTCCATATCAAAACGGTGGCGGATTTTGACATTGCTTTACTCTTAGCTGGGCTTCCTGAGGGAAACGCCGGACTCCCTTTCAACATCGGGAGACCCTGTTTAAGGATAACTCCCCAGCTGAACATCGCAGCCCCGCGCACCAGGAACACCTTCTAGCTACGATGGCTAAGACAGTGGAAAAACTAATGACCTCCTGCTGACTGCTAGTCAAAACTTCGACAGAAACACATTCTCCCTTCTGTAAACATATACACTCTCTTCAACACGCATCGCAAATTTTACTACTGATTCTACAGTTCTGAAACGTTCAGTTAAAACGATAATAGTGAGACTGCCTAATGGTATGTGCATTTCAAAGCTAGATTTCGTATAGCTAGCAGCTGTGAAACGAGGTCAATAGTAACGTAACAGTTGTCTTTCCCGCATTATTTACGAAAGAGTTGGTTAAAATATGTCATATAGATAACTAGTGGTGCCCAAAAGCGAAAAAATGTCGCTCGTGGATGTTATGGCTACATACCAAATATCAGTAACGGAAGATAACGTTGTCGAGCCTACAACATAATAATGCAACATAACTGAGAACGAGAACAAACATCGTACAGAACACATGTTCGAGTGTATAGTTGCTTTTGCAGGACTAAGTCCTAAAGCCCTATTACTGCTATATCAACATACATGTTGAATAAATACATAGCAAGTAATATTGTAGATTCAAAGTTAGGGCTAAACAAAAACTACGTGATTGTTAGACAGTAGTGGTTGTCCGTGGTGCTTGTACAGCTCTATCAAGAGCGTAGACATTCGGAAGAAGCGGGATAGACGCAACAGAGAAGAAAACTCTGTGAAGTTAAAGATAGGTAAGTAAAAACAAAACAGGAGTAGTACTATTGGTCTGCAACAAGTTAAGTATACAAACGACAACTTACTCATGACTGTACTTCGAGAGCACAGTCTCCAATCGATCGTATATCACTCGACGTTTATGCATCATATGATTCAACTCCCACATCAATGGCTCAACATCCTCAGCTTTGTACCCAGAGTACTTATGCAAAATTGGTGTCCTTAACAAAAATGATGGGTCTTAAAGTATGTATCCCTCACAATCTCGTTAGCTAACCAGGTCGCTTCCTCATCATGCATTTTGAAAGCGAGTAGGATAGCAGCAGCAGCCATTAGTGATTCCGGAACTTCGACAAATTCATAGAACATTAATGACGTCTCGAGGATGTAGCGTGCCAGAGTCAACTTCGGCATGTCGGTCTTTGTTACCTGGAAATCAATTCAGAGAGTAAAAACCGAATAATTATTTCTGAAGAAGGCATGAGAAACAAAAATGTCACTAGTAAAAGAAGAATTCTCCAAAACGACACATTTACAATGATAAAGTTCTGCTTAGTTTGTCGAAGGTTTTAGAGAGATCTGTGAACGCAACATATGATTGACATGATACCCGAGCATAGCGTCTAACGTATCGATAACTGAGTGGGAAGCCGATGTCGTAGTTAACGACGTCCAACATTTTCATCTCCGTTTGGATCATTTGTTGACGAGTGAACTGTTCATCACAAACATACATAAAATCATCGATAAGAGGTGGACTGCGCTCCTAAATTAGTAGGGTAGGTGGAGAGTACTGAGGAAAGTTAACTAACCACAAGCAAAAACAACAAACCTCAAATTTAGAGGAGATAAAAAAAGCAGCGCTAGCCAACACCTGTAGATCTTCTTTTACTACTCCCTCGGTTTTTGAAAGGTAAAGATCAAGAATCTTCACTGCCATATAAAGGGTTTCATGATTAAGTTCGAATGTTTCTTGTATCTAAACAGAACATCATCTCTGTGCATCAATTAAAAACCAAACGTGGAACCGTTTAAACCCGTACTTCAACCATCCAATCAGCGAGAACTGCCCGCGTTTGCTTGTTAAGTTGTGGGTGTTGGGGAAGGTAGTCAAAAACATGGAAATGTCTCTGAAAGTACAACTCCAAAAATACTTTACTGTTCCGATCTTTATTGTTGCATAAAGCACAATACTATCCAGATTTCACCCACATATAATGTTGGTACAAGAACGAGGTAATTCACGGAAATGCAACTTTACCAAATAATATAAAGTTTTCCTAACTCGATTCATATTGTCGTAAAATTTTATTTATTGCCTGATCCTTTTAATGACACTGTATTATGTGAAATATAACGACAACGGCACTGAGACATTTGTAGAACTCCGGACCACTGGTGTTTGATGGGGGGCGAACACGCTATTACTCCTTCCAGAGATCAACGCGTTCACCACGATACCATGTGAGTCCTCCATTTTGCCCCTCTCTCAGTTGTATTGTTCACCAATAGGTGCTATCAGCAATCCCTGTCAACAGCATTGATCTGGGAAGCACAAATCGGCATTGAACCCAATTAAGATAAAGTTGCGGTATAAATCATGACGTCGATTTTTATCTACTGCCTACTACTTTTTAATGGCAGAGTATTATGTGAAATATAATCAAGATCAATCACGTTAATGGGTGAGATAGCACCTATAGGCCAATAATACGGCTGACATAGGGACGAAACGAGGGACTTGTATGGTGTGGTGGTGAATGCGTTAGTCCTCGGGAAGGGTAACAATAACGGTCCCGAGTTTTGCAAAACCTCAGCATCATTATAGTTCAATCCATATTATTTGCCCGAAATGTAACATGTTAACCACAGCGGTCCGTTTTCGTATCTCATAGCGAAATTTAGTACAGGCGTATACAACGCAGCGGTTAGAAGTGCCCTGTAATACACAATGGGTCGCCCGCGGGTTCCGAGGCATGTCATAGGCTCACTAAGCCTTCGATCCCTCCAGAGTTGGCAAACTGTTACCATACTTGTCTCTGACAGCACTCACTTGATACGTCGGTAGGCCACCGCAAGTTATTGTATAGGCCTGATGATAAGCATTTAATTATTTTTTGCCATGCTCGAACTTGAAAAAATGGCGTATCCCTTAGGTATTGATCAACGCCGAGAGCTTTATCCTTTTGTAGCAAAACTGTTTGATAGATGAGAACATATACACCTTCAGCTGTGTTGCAATGAGAGGGAATTCGTACAAGTGGATTGATGAAATGACATCGAATATTTGAACATACCGTTAAAACTACTGAATCCCAATACGCAATAGTTCACTGGTAAGCTAACGCGAAGTCGGTTAAAAAAATTGTTTCGGCTAACGTTCCGGCGCCTTCGCCTTCTTCAGAGGTGGAGTGAACCAAGTCTATTGTCAACAAGTGTTCCTTCTTCTGTGTGTCTTCGTCATCGCATCAAATCGAATTCAGTGCAGCACTGCTCGAATGAAGTAACCTTACTCTACAATGCTGTTCTATACAGAACGGTTGTTGTTGTTGTTGACTGTCCATTGATAATCGCTTGTTTCTCTTCGGACAATCCATCCTGCAGCAGTAGGTATCACTTTTAGCTAGCAGAGCGTCAACCTTGTGTTAGCTTACCGCTAAGAGAATACTTATTGACTAGTTATGTCGATGGTGAAGAAAAGTAGGTTCTTTAAATACTGTTACACTCTTGATTCCGTCAACCATATGCATATATTTTCATTAACTTATTCATAGCGACCCTTGTTTTCTCGATAAGCAGAGTTAAGGAAGAAGATGAAGTCAACAAATGTACAGAACAGGCTTTGCACTATCGCTGTAAAGGTACGTAAAGCCCACATATAATACATACAATAATTTTTACCCAAAACTCGCTTTCAACTGGATAAAATGTCAAAACAACAAACTGCCCATAAAGCAAACACAAAAAGCACCCACAGTGAAGAGTATCAGAAGTCAGTACCACTCCCCTTTGACAGTAATCCGCTTGTTCAACCGCTTAGTTACACGACGTCAGAGCCCGACTTGGGTGTAGCAGAATTTTGTCATGGCAGAATAAGAGAAACTGTACCTCTTTGGCAATGACACGTAAATTCTAATGGTTTGCGTTTCAATTGAGGAAGTAAACTATGAAGTTAAACATGTTTGTTTCATAATTAGAGTCCGAAATGAATTGATTTGCAATATGCAGAGCGAAAATAACGGCCACTTTTCAAATTTAATCTACAAATCTTCGCTCAAAGTGAACCTTAATAACTGATGTAAAAACATTTACTATATAAATATTTTTCCACCCCTACCCAAGTTTTCCTACTCAATCACAACGAAATTCGCATCTTGCTAAGCTCAGTCCTTGAATTTCTGTCGTTTATTCATCACTGAGGGTAGCAATTTGAACACGAATGCAATTCAGCAAGCGGGGTCTCGTCTATTGGAATGCACCGATGACTTTATGGATGCCGCACTTCTTTAAGAAATTCTATAGATTCATCTCAGTTCTCAAATTTGTTTTTGGAAACCCACTATCACTTTTGGACGGGCACACCAAAGTTTCTTCTATCAATCTACACTTATGATGAGTATACGAACAAATCGCGGTTAAAGTTTCACGACAGTTTCTTTTATCTGACCTCTCTTGACTTGTAGTACTTGAAGATATCAAAAGCAAACTCAGAGACGTTCGCAATATCTGGGCCACTTTCAGCGTCATAATCATACGCAGGACAAGGATCGTCCTCGTCAGCTAATTTCAACTCTTCGCTGAAAAATGTACGAATACACTTCGACCAACCTACTAGGTAAAACTGGAGGAGTACTTATTTGTGAAACCAAATCTGTTAGCATGAAAGGTATTAATTCACTGACTGACCTAAGCGAATTGTCCGATTGAGTTTTAGATCGTCGATTAGTACGCCGAATGTCATTCGTCAAACTAAGCTTCTTAGTAGAATCGATGACAACGTTAGAAATGGCCTGAACTGACATATCTATACGAGCAAAAGCTAATAGAAAATCAAACACTTTATAAACCACTTCAAAGAAATTACAAGACATTGACACGATGATGACTTTTCGACTATTATTACCTAGCAGGAATCACGGATCGCCCTAAGGAAGATAAAATTTTCTTGAAATCTCCATTTCACTTAAAAACGACGTACAATTTAAATTTTCAAAAGACAAAATGGTTAAAATATTGGCAAATCAACTGAGATGCTCGAAGTCTGTGCTTCGCCGTTAAGTATCGCAAACTCAAAGTTTTCAAAATAACGGAGTTCAATATGTACCGAAATGCCTCTAAGGCAAAGTAAACGGTTTCGGTCACATATGTCCTGTTATTGAGAAAAAGGAGAACACCTTTTGATGCATGCGCTAGCGCTAAAAGCACTAGTGATATATTTCGGTATACGACTTCCAAAATAGAATTTTTTATTGAATAGGAAGGGTAACACCCTGTTTTTAGCCCAACTAGGAAAGCCAGTTGATGACTCTGAAAAACTCAGATTTTCGCGGACACTGGACAGCATTTCTCATCTCGTCGCCAATGTGTTAAACACAATGACATTTCTCTTCAAGAAACAAGGGATAAATAACGCTAACACTCAACAAGTGAAAGGTATTTGGAAAGCAAACCGCTGTGACCTCTGTGTTAATTGAGAATATTTCATCAATTTCTATGGAGTTAGTTTCTTTGTGAAGCCACCCTATCCGCTTCTCGTTTTGTCAGCAATGACAAAATTCTGTCTCTTCACGGTGTTATCCAAGGCCATTTGCCTTATTACTAATGTAATATCGAACTCATTAACTGTCAATCACAAGCACCAGCAGTTGATTATACCTAACGTGAAATAAGTGAAGATTACAAGAAACTCAATTGTTACAAAAGTCTCTCTACAATGCAAATTCCAGGGAGGATAAGAACGACACCAGAAATACAGAAGTAGAAATTTTGAACCACAACTGCCTTGAAACCTATCTCTGATCGGCCTACAGCTTTAACCGTTCTAAGGAACGCTTTAACCACAAAGTGGAAAACAAATTTCACTTCGCGGAAAGAAAAAACAAGAATGTACAGAGACTTCACCCTAGGTGGGATTTTAAGTAATGAGGACTGATGCCAAACGAGAACACTATTCAAGTGAACACTATGAGATGCTGATGAAAGTCCTCCGAACTTGTGCCGGCAAGGTCTTCAAAACCCAAAACAAGCTCTGAACGTGCACGAAATAACGAAAAAGATCAGTCTAAACAGAATATACTAGTGAGTGGAGCCTGATGCAGAACTCACTGGAAGTGGTTATAAATGCCACTTGTAGAAAGGCAGCAATCATCATTTGAACAAGAACTAGAAGGATAGAAAAGGATAAAGCCTTAGGTCATTATCGATCCTTAAGAGATGCGTTATACTTTTGACTTCTTCAGGTACTGCAAAGGTGACTGGATTCCATCAGAATGAGATGCGGTGCTCTATTGATGCATCAATTGTGTTCCTATACTCCCAGACAATTCTGGTACCAATTAACGCCGGAAAGGTTGGCGAAACTGCGGTGCGAGATTGAACTAGAGACCAAGTGTATATTTCAGGGTACTTCTGGCTACTGCGCTACAAGTGTCTGGAAGAAGAAAATGTAGGTAAATGTTGATCTAATCCAGACGAGTTCCACTTTCTGATCTGTTTAGTGAAGACATGTGAGGCTCAATCGAACACCAGAGGATAGATTAATGGCAGAAAAATTCGACGCAAATCTCTTTCCATCCATAGCGTCTATTGCAGATTCCTCAATACCCAGTAGAAGATCACTAGTAGCGCTCTCCTGTAAAAATTTGGCCCACAATTAGAAGCTTGAAATTTGAAAAAAATAATGTTTAAGCCGATCTTCCAGCCGACAACGATCACCATCTACCGGCTACTCCTGCAAACCCACATGATGTTATATCTGCTAATAAGACGAATATTCAGTGGAAGACTTCACACAACGTCTTTTTACACAAAATGGCAGCACAAATGACCTTCGTGACTACTATCCGAAAAGTTTATTGTTCTCCGTTTTTCGTGGATATCATCGCGACACATATCTCGAATAATGTGAACAAGTTTAACCCTCAGAATAAGTTGTCTCTTAGAAGATTTAACTGCATAGACCACATTGAAGCACTTTAAAGGGTCAAATAGGCCTAGTTAATAGTTTAGATGGCCCGTGCTCACATTTCAGGCCGACGCCTAGGAACACCTTCCAGCCACGATGGGCGGTAAACTGTCGGGAGGAAGTGGTCTACTGGGAACACGAACTCACCCTTGATACAACCTCCGGCAGTTGTACAACCCTACATAGTTGTAACGCAGAATATCAAGAAAAACTTACTACTGGCAATTGTAACTACAGGAAGATATGCAGTTTCTCCACTAATCATTCAATACCCGAAGTGGAAAACAAGATAGACACAATAGTGCTAATTCGTGAGAAAGACCTCAATGAACACTAGGCCAGTTTCCGTATTTCAGATCTCCAGCAAACCCTTTGTGCTGGAGAACCAGCAAAATACGTCGAAAATAAAGACCAACAGGCAGGTCCTAATGTAAAACGGTTCTATTCACTGCAGTAACCAACGTCTCCGATTGTCACGACGCTGGTGAAGATGAACCCATACGAGACGATGCAAGATTGACAAATGCAAAGCGATGAAATAACTAGAAGGACCATGAACCTCACGACATGTGGAAACAAGCAAGTGGTCCATTTAGCGCGTATAATAAATGTCAAGGTAAAAATGAAAAACACGTTTACATTTGCAAATACAATTAGAATAAACGGCATATTAGTGGAACGTTAGGGTCAACGAACCTTGGTGAGGTCAGTGAAAGCGGGACGCTTTGCTTTTGGCTCCGAACTATCATCGTCTGAAATGATCGCCTGCTTCTTCCCGCGTTTCGTCTCGCCTTAAAATGACAATGCAGTTGTAAAACACTATAGAAACGTGTCAATTCTAAGGAGTATCATAAGAAATAAGCAGATAATTTGCACTAATTTCTAAACTCAGCTGTCCAACTGCCTAAGGGTACTCCTATAGCAAGCCAAAAGGCAAAAAATACACGAAACCTGCCTGGCTTCTGGTTATTGATGATATTCGTGCTATTGTTATTTCTGCTTCGAAGCATCATCTTGCTGGAACCTCGGCGAAGAAACTGGTTAGAGTGTTAGTGGATAGAGATGTGACCGATGACGTCACTTCTACGAAAAGAAAGCTCAGGATGCTTCTGGATTTAAGCAAATAGAAAGAACGAGATTCTTAGCAGCTAAGGATATTTAGTTGGGATCCGAAATAGCCTCATAGTCAATACATCAAGCAAAAAGAAATAAAAAAGAAGAACCATCTAACTCTAGTCTGTCAGAAAGCGATGAAAAATTTTCAAATGGCGGGCACGCCACTTAGATTCTCAACGGGTACGGTACTTTGGCGGGAAGAGTCAGCTTTCAAGCGCGATGCAGTGCAATTGGAAGCAAAGGGTTCTTTGACGTCTTATGGCTTGAGTTCTTATTCTCATAACCTTTCGCTAAAGTTGTAAGCATCGTACTCTAAAGACATTTACTTCACAATCAGCTATCTTTACGGTCGGCTTTTCTTATACATTCTGTAATAATCACAGCGCGCAACTCTTAAATTTATACTTCTCATATATGAGCTACACATAGATACAACCATCATAATTCTGCAACTTTTACAATTTGTCACATTCACTTGTAATCTTGCAACTTAGACTTGCTTACTTGGATACTCGGATGCCTTGTCTTCACTGGTCATGTGGCCCCAGTATGGTTTCCATTTTTTCGGAGTTTTGCTGGTTTAGCCACTGTGATTCCTTGGTGTCCCGAAGTCAGCCTAGCCAGTGTCAGTCTCAGGTCGTCACTACCACAGGCAGTTACCACCCTTGCGGAACACAGGGAGATTTGTCACCATGCGACTTTAATACCAGGATGGTGGTGGATCAAGGTATTTGTTTACTCTTAGCTAAGCTTCCTGATGGAAACGCCTGGACTCCTTCTCAGTTTGTGAGACCTTGCCAGGGGTATGAATTCCCCCGCTGTACATGGCAGCTCGACACCCAGGAACACCTACAATCCACGATGAGACGGTAAACCGTCAGGAGGTTTTGCAATCTATAACTTTTACGGTTAAACTTTTCTGTGGAAACTATGGATAAGTTTAGACAAAAATATTTATTTCATTGAGTACATTTAATGCTGACTTTCTTGGAACGTATTTCAGGAGATTTAGCACCATAACATCTATGTATATCTTATATCCTTTAACATCCGACACACCTTGAATAGCTTTTGATTTCCGCGACGTACATAACGGAGTAGATATTTGAATTCTCACCATTTGTATCAAACTTGAATAGATTTAAACCCTGAACTCATGCATTTACACTTCCAGGAGATTGTCATAATGGGCCTTCGATGCCATCCTTGTTTCTTTTTTATGACATGTATTGACACAGTGCCTCTCTCTCTCTCTTCTCCCTCTCGCTCTCCCTCACCCCTCCCTTTCCTCCGCTCTCTCTCTCTCTCTCTCTCTCTCTCTCTCTCTCTCTCTCTCTGGAAAAGCACGTTGATTTGTCGATGCAGGTGTTCTTTTTAAGTTTATAAGCCCTCAGTTTCTACACAGAAGTCCGACAAGCGGACCGATCTTGCAATGAGCTCTCTCGTTTATGACGCCTTTTATTATCCACTAAATGGGGACAGACAAACGGCTTTTCAAATCTGTCTCTTGGCACAAATTGATTATCAAGAGGTTGGCATTTCAAGCAGTAGGCAGCACCGCAACTTCACGGTTGCGCTTATAGCCTAATGATCCCCGTCTTAAAGCAGAAACCAACGAGTGTTGCTCTCTTCAATCGCTGTTGACGAAATGGGCAGAAATAGTCCGAGACACTGGTGGTCAAAGACGGCCAGCAAAGCTAGTGATAGTTGAAGCCTCAGTACCAATATTAAGCGTGAAGAGCAAATGTGAAGAATATTCGAGATAAGGTACATGATCGGCCAGCTTGCAAATTTTACTTAGCACTCCATACAATAATACAGCGGACTGTGCTGCACACAGAGGACAATATGGTGCGAAGATGGTTATCAAAAACAGAAAAATAAACGAAAATACCACTTTGAAAAGTGAATATCATGATATTTTGTCCAACCATTAAGAATTCACTATCCTATTCTATACTCAATGAATTTCAAATTACAGTCTCAGAAATGGTCCTGCTTTTACAAGCTGTTTCATGCATTGGTATCAACTCCTGTTAAAGATTTTCAGTGTCTAACAACATCTTTCTTAATATTGTAGAGTAGAAAGGTAGAGCATTGTAAGTAGATTTAGACAGTTGGACCTTTGAGCTGCACAGCAGTAGAATGTGTTCATTAACCAATGGCGGTTTATCATATCTGATTAAATCTTTGTTATAGATCGTGTAGAAATGAGATTTGTTCAGAGATCGCGGTTGGCACAAAAGGATAGAATGTATTGGATCTCATAAATTGATGTGGGTAGATGAAGCCTGAGCGATGCGGTAGGTCTTGGATGGAAGCGCTTTTCGGCACCGAATTGGAACTGGGTGGTGGAGTTGCGATAGTGCTAAATACTAATTGATTATTGAAAGAAAATGATTTCAAAAATGCAGAGTTTAAGAAAAAGGATAGCTCAGCTACAGGGATTTCCTTGAGTTCAGCGTGATAAGGGGTTTTATTTCCTCACGACCTTTGTCACACTGAAGCTCAAGAATCTGTGAAAATTTGCCGCTTCTTTATAGACATTCAGTATTATTTACGCGAAGATATGAAGTTTCTTATTTCGCCCCAAAATCTCTGAAATTTAAGAAATCAAATAAATGGATCATCATATCTCACCTCGTTTTCTCATTCACAACCTTCTTTCTATTTTTAGTTCGACGATTTTGAAACCAAACTTTTACCTGAAAAAAAATATTTTATATAAAACAAATGTTTCCAACGGGTCCAACATTCTTTTATTTGGTCCTCTTGTTAGTCATTGGAGATTGAAAACTAATTACCAACACTATCGGCGATGTTAATTAGATGCTTTTCCCAAGACATCTGTGAATTGCTCAAGTAAGAGAAAAATCACCATTTTGCTTCTGTGCTAACCTGGAATCTCTCTCATAGAAACAATCTCGCGTCGATTAGTCGTCAGGCAATGTGATGGGTCCACAGGTGGCAGATAGGGGATAATCGCGGACCAAAAGCGATCTTATACTTCCCTGAGGCGTGAATTACATGGGAGGCAGTTAGGAGTTTTCTCCAACAAATAATCTCTTAATTTTGCCGTGGAAGAGATTGATAAGATGCCCTTGAGCCCACCCAGCCTCCAAGTTCGGAGTTCAGCAAACTACACGTGAGTATGGGACACTAAACAGTAAAATAAGTGGGTCTTATTCCCACGACCTTGAATGAGCTCCCGATATGGCAGTGTTGGGTAAGACGAGTAGAGAAAGCCTGCTAAAATCTCAAGGCCATTCTAGCATGACTAAATCGCAAAGGACTATGGTGAGAATCCGTACATACAATGCAAGTACACTTGCATCCAAGTCCTCGATAGAAGACTTGCTCATGCAAACAAGAACGATAAGGTACGTCATTGGGCTGGCTGAAAAGAGAAGCCGCCACTCATTCAACTGCACCTAGGAAACCAGAGAACAAATGTTTTAGAGAAAATGCGACAACAGAGGAGTCGGCCGCGTCGGCACGAGTTTAGTCATGAACATCGATTCATTCGAACAACTAACAACCCGAGTCGGACGTCTACCGCTGAAGAGATGTAGATCTCATATACTCTGTAGCCGATCCCACACAATATCCTGACTAATACCTATGGATGATTGCAAGGCAACCTAACGAATAGAAGAAGTTGAAGAATCCTCATAGCATATAAAGAAGAGCCATTTATTCACCGTTGTAAATTTGTACAATATTTGCATTAATCCGGAATGAAGAAAGAATGTAATTAAAGGTGTTTAACTTGCTTGCCCACGGACCTCCCTCACATGAGGGATCTCGAGTCGGTTAGTCACGAGACGACGTGGCGTGTCCCTAGGTTGCGGATAGGGAGTTAATCCCGGACCATAAGCGACACGGTCTCCTTGAGACACAGGTGGATCCAGGAGATGAACTCCTTGCTTCTGTTGCGGCGATTTGGAACACACTTCCTGCATTTACGAAGCGTATTCATTCATGCGTATGTGGGTTCTTTCAAGTTTATGTGGATTTGTTTAACGTTTTGTTTTCTGCCTTCTATAATTTTCATGGCAGGTTACTAAGTAAACGAAATACAACCACAACGTTGCTGAGATATTTGCAAAACTCTGGACCGCAGGTGTCTATGGTGGGGAACGAACGCGCTATTGTCCTTTCCGGGGAGTAACGCGTTCACCACCACACCATGCGGGTCCTTTGTTTCGCACGTCTCTCAGCTATTTCTATCGATCTTTTTGCCACAGCAATCACCCGTCAGTGGGGTTGATCTGGGGAGCGCAAATCGGCATAGAACCCAGTTAAGCTATGGCTGTAGTTGAAATCACAATGTTTAACGTTTTGTTCTCTGCCTTCTATAATTTTCATGGCAGGTTACTAAGTAAACGAAATACAACCACAACGTTGCTGAGATATTTGCAAAATGCGAAACAAAGGACCCGCATGGTGTGGTGGTGAACGCGTTACTCCCCGGAAAGGACAATAGCGCGTTCGTTCCCCACCATAGACACCTGCGGTCCAGAGTTTTGCAAATATCTCAGCAACGTTGTGGTTGTATTTCGTTTACTTAGTAACCTGCCATGAAAATTATAGAAGGCTCTGCCAGAAAATTATGCGCGGGTATCAGAATGCTAAACAATAAAAAAACGGGCCCCATACCCCTGACCCCGATAGAGCGTTCAATTTCGCCGCGTTGGGTAAGATGAGTACGGAGAGGCTGCGAAGATATCAGGGCTAATGGAAGCTGCCTGGATCACAGAGAACTAAGGTGACGATCTGTACCTATAATGCGCGTAAAGTTGTATCCGAGTACTCGATAGAAGATTTGATCATGCAAGGGAGAAAGATAAGGTACGATGTTATCAGCCTGGCTGCGACGAGACGATGCCACCCATTCAACGCCGTCTATGAAACCGGAGAAGAACTGTTTCTCGGAACATGCGACAGTAGTGGAGTCAGCGTTATCGGCGTTCTCGTCAACACGAGTTTGTACATGAACATCGATTCATTCAAACAACTTACAACCCAGATCGGACGTTTACGATTAAGAAGATGTGGATCAATTCCAGCTTTGACAATCTTCGTCGTTTACACGCCGACATCAAACTATGACGAAGAAGAAGTCGAAGTGTTCTATATGGAATTCGAGAAGTTCTACAGAGAAGACCATGTACTCTTCAAGGTCATCATTGGAGATTTCAACGCCAAGATTGGACCAAGAAGAACGTCTGAAGAACGTCACATTGGGGTCCACGGATTAGAATGGAACGAACAGGGTGAGCGGCTATCTGAGTTTATCATGGCGACCAAGACAAACTATGGTAACTCGCAATTCCCGAAGCCCCACCTTCAGCGCTGGACGTGGGAGTCTCCCAATGGAAAGTACCACAACGAAATAGACCACATCATAGTAAATAGAAGGTTTTGCCTAACCGATGTCGCTGTTGTCCCAAAATTCTACACGAGATCAGACCATCGTCTCCTTTGTGCAAGATTCTATTTTTCGCGGAAAGGAGAAATAGCCGCTAAATTCAGAAACTGAAGTCCCAGAACCACCGTAAACTGGGATTTATTTAATTCATTATTCGGCTGTTGGGAAGATGCCGGTGTCGATAACATCGACGAAGAATAGATCGGCCCATTCAACAGCCCCATGTCAGCGCTATGAAAGCTCAGGATTTGAAAATTAACATAATGAACGACTTAATTCCATAGATGAGTACCAGGAAAGGAGCGGCTTGCGGAGCTTTACAGAGCATTAAGTGTGCATTGAAGGAGAAAAACAACGTCTGACTACGTGCCCACCTTTTCTTCTCCACTGCCTTAACGTATGCGTCACAAACATAGTCGGGTATTCAGGTTGAAAGATCACTCAGCGTCATAGACCGTGCATTCAAAAGATGGTGCTAGGGATCTCCCACGTCACTCCTGCATGTGTGAGAAGAGATCCGAAGTTCCGATCTACGTCAACGATCAAGAACCAAAGACTTAGAATCAATGTTCTATAAGCCAAATCGTTTTAAACATGGTGGACCGGACACGTAATGCGCATGATCGACAACCGAAAGAGGATGCCGTTAGTGACTGGATTCCAGTGGATGTTAAACGCGCAGTAGATAGACCACCGATTCGATAGTCAAAGTTCTTCATGAAAACTCTAGAAGAAAGATATGATGGTCAGCGGTTGCTTAGAGCGAGGCGAATAGATGGTGCTACTCTTGCACACAATAAGTAGAAGTGGAATGTTTACTGGCGCCCGCTTGTGTTTATCGACAATCCACGGGACAACAGGCAATACAGGTGACCTAGGTGGTCACCTTACATTACTCTATGGAAGCAAAATTGTTTTGAATTACCAATGCTTAATGAAGTAGAATTTATTACCGAAAAGTGTTGGTAAAACATTCAACAATTACTATTTTTTTTTAACAAGACCCTATTTCATGTCTACCGCATTATGGGGATTCTAGCACTTTTTGCATTGCAGTCATACTCCCGATGCCATTCACGAAGTCCAGGAAAATTTTGAGTATGGGTTCTGTTGCTGTTCTTGCATGGATTAAAGGTAGCGAACTTGTTCCAGACAAGTCTGTGACGAAGTTTCCGACCCCGAAGGAATGAGAAGCTAAGTGAATGCTGGAAGAGGTCGAATGTGTCGGGACAGTCTAGGCCTTTTGCGCATCACTGCTACTACTACGGTACGCACCCTCTCGATTATTAACTGTGACAAATAACAATGAGAAAAGAACAATCCTTAAAAGCTCCGATTTATTTCCACATTTAAAGGGGCCTATATCAGATATTGGTTACCAACACTTCTTTATGTTGATTTGTTGTTTCGCATCCATCATCAGTCATGAAGGTCATCGGATATGCGTGTAGTTTCAGTTGCTGCTGAAGGATTCTTGCCGTTCTTTGCGAATGTCATTTATTGTTATGGGTTGATTATTCACTATAGATAGTTGTCATACCTTTGTGGAACGGGGCCAACCCTTCCCTGGGCAATGTAGCACCAATTTGGCGATGCTGGAGGAATATGTCGCACTGATCGCTTGGCAGCGGGTTCGAACCAGTGTTCTTGTGCGCATAACTGCACAACATCATTAGCAGTGCGCTTCTTACACCATCTATTTTCATAAATGGTGTTTTTAACTCTTTTTATATACGTGAAGCTGAAAATTTTATGACTATTATTCGACTATTCTGAGATTCCGGCCTAAGACGTTACGTGGCGGCATGATAAGATGGAGACGTTGCACATATTCAATACAACTACAGTCCTAGTTAACTTTATATGAGAACATAGACGAGTAGGGTTTATTAAATGTAAGTCTTGGTCATCCACTGCCAGAAGACCGTCCAAAGAATCGTAGCGTCTCTCTAGATATAATTGTCAAATTTCCACAACCACTAGCACCTAGCAGAGCTAACGTTTCGCCAGGTTTCACATCGGGCAATTCCCTGATGAAGTTGTGGATGTTTGCTTTTTGTGCTGCGTCGAAAATAGCCGCTTCACTAACCGATCTTGATCAAAGAGTCTGAATCCACCACTTCATCAGTGAATTGCCCGATGTGAAACTTGGTAAACCGCTTGCCCTGGTAGGCCGTAGTGGTTGCGTGAAGTTGACGGTTATATCACTTCCAGAGAGACTCTACGATCCTTTAAACGGGCTTTTGGCAGTGGATGATGGTGGCCTACGTAAAATAAACTCTAGATAGATCTCTCAGAATTAAGTGCGAATTCTGTTCTCTTTATTCAAAAATCGAACCAGTTGTTTTATGCCCATAGAACGTTAAACTATTCTGTGTTCACCCTATTTAAATAATACTTGAAATGAGCAAGAATAAGGTTCTGCTATGACCTGAGTGTCGCTGAGAGCCAGACGTGTGGCTAATTCAAGTCGATCTTCTCCGGTGAGATAGCCATTTTTCTGGAAAGCTTCTTCAAGAAGGCGAAGTTGATTATCGGAAAAAATCGTACGTGGTCGTTTTGGACGCTCCAGATCAAGTTTTACAGGAAACTGTAGTGTTCGTTCCTCACCGTTTGCTCCTGAAGAGTTTATCACAGTTAGCAGATGTTTTCCAAATACTATTCTTCTTTAATTATAGTGAGCTTTTGATAACTTTCCTACAATAATAATGCGCGCTATAGCTATAAAGTTTCGTTGCTTAACTCTTCCCAGTTAAAATTTCACCAATGTTCTAACGATTATAAAACGGTGACGAATTTGTAAAGCCAAACAGTATACTCTCAGTAGGTGTTTGTTGTACACAAAGCTTCCGCTTAGAAATCATGGAGCGTGAAATTAATAGATACTCCTAATTTCTTGTGACCCTCGCTGTGTGTTAAAAAACAACGGCAGAACGACTATGAATCTAGCGAATCCTAACGAAAGGTTAGCCGTTGTTGAGCAAATGTTTCTTTTGTAAACTCGTACTAACTCATCAAGGTCACATAAGAACAGAGTTGAGTTTGGAATTGATAGTGGACATTATTCTAGCGGAGTGGGACCATCGCATTGGCGTTAATTACGAATATTTTTATCTAAAGCTTATATCAAATAACGTACCCTTTATTCTTAGAACTTTTATGAAATCCGAATTTGTTGTCGGCGTCATGAATCTGCAAGGCATCAGTGAATTCAAAGGCAAGAGATATAGCAAGAATTATTGCTAATGTAACTATTGGCATAACATTTTAAGCCAATGCATGTGATATCCAGCTTGTGGCAACTTGTGACGAAGTCCTGCGCTGGGACAGATTGTAAATTTGCTAATGGTTTGAGTTCAGAAAAGGACTGTGCAAAAACTTGCGTCGTTTTGGTGGTTTCATCACAGAAGGCGTCAGCTCATGGATAGATTCCCTACCTTTGAACAATACCATATTTGTGTGAAATATTAGCACAAGATTACTGAGATATGAGCAAAACTCGGCACTTCAATTCGGCTTCGAACCTGCGATTACCGTTTCTGGGAGGTTACATGCTATCCACCACATTAACTGAGGTCCATGCTCTGCCTTTCTCAGCACTCTTGTGGTTGTATTTCACATGGTACTCTGCCATGAAGAAAAAATGGGCACTAAATGAAAGCTAACAGATTGTGCTTGTTTGATTAAAAGATGAAGATAAAGGTTAAACGTCCGGGTTTGATCAGTCCTTCATGCATGCGCCAAACATTCAACTTAAGCATTGTTCAGAGTGCACATTAACGTGACAAGACGTGATCTCCTGCTATGTCAACTCATTGTTTTTATATCCCTTACAAGAGCACTGCCAATTTGCCTACCCAAGAAGGATGAAGGTAAATTTGTCCGAAAGGCCAGATCGAACCTGTGAGCGTGCGCGGAGGAAACCAATTCTAGCGTTGTCCTGTGCACTGCGCTACACGAACCCACTTCATGTGACTGGACATTTTGAATTTACTTTATTGGTGCTTATGCTTCGATGTCCAATGTGTGTTTTTGTTTTTTTTTTAAGCTGTCAAAATGTCTTTGAAAAAGTGGTCAATATAACTCGTATGAAATGCTGAGATATTTGCAAAACTCCGGACCACAGGTGTATGCAGTGGGGAACGAACACGCGCTGTTGTCCTTACCGGGGAGCAGCGCATTTCACCACTACACCATCCGGGTCCTTCGCTTTGCATGTCTCTCAGCTAGTTCTATCGATCTTTTTTGCCATCATCAATCACCCGTCAACGGGATTGACCTGGGGAACCAATATCGGCATTGAACCCAGTTGAGCTGAGGGTTAGTTATAATCACAATCTTAACTCTTTTATTTACTGCCTTTTTCTTCTTAATGGCAGGGTATGTTGCGAAATATAACTCGTATGAAATGCTGAGATACTTGCAAAACTCCGGACCACAGGTGTATGCAATGGGGAACGAACACGCGGTGTTGTCCTTACCGGGGAGCAGCGCACTTCACCACTACACCATCCGGGTCCTTCGCTTTGCATGTCTCTCAGCTAGTTCTATCGATCTTTTCTCTCAATATCTCAAGTTACTTTAAAATTCTCAAAATCGAGTTACTCTTGGTAGTTCGCTTTCGTACAGAAACACTAGCTATACACTAGCTTTGAGGTGTTTGAATACATATCCGGCATTTACAATGACTCATGGTTGCCTAACGATATATCGAGCCAGTGCTGCTATCCTCCCAGACAAGTCTGGTACCACTTTATCGACCCCGGAGGGATGGAAGGCTTTGATGGGCCACGGGCGCGGGATCGATCCAATGTGTATTGCAGGCCGCCTCCCACCACTGCACCACACACCACAGGATCGAAACAAGGGAAATAGAAAAAAATTAAGAAAAACACTAAAATACATAAACGCTGTTGGTGTATCAAAATAAGGAGTTAGTTTATAATTATCTGCTGTATATGTTTATAATCATCTACTGTATGCGATGATAAAGGATTAGCAAATTGATGAGCAGTAAAATGATGGTTCACATTTAGTGTGTGTGAACACATGAAGGAAAACGAAGATGTTCTTTCTTGAGGCTTCAGTTTTCTGTTCAGCCATACATCGGAAAATATCATCTCATACCTTTGGGAAACAATTTAGACTAAGTGGGTTCTCATGAAATTCAAAGGTTCAAACTTCAAAATTCAAACTCACGAAACAAAAGAATCACGAGAAAGCGAAACATGTAAACAATCATGTACTTGCGAAAATAAATGAGCTAAGAGATTGGTTGCTGATTTCCTTATAAGGAAAGTCATCGAAGCAATTAACTCGCATTCGTGACAATCAACTTCTGTAATGAGAAGGAGAAGTTTGTGATGAAGCTACAACCACAAGACAGAACCGACGTTGAACTGGGTTGGGTGCTGATGCGGTGCTTGGGATCGGAGATGAGATTGATGTGTTGATGGTGGCGGGGATTGCTTTGCGTCGAGAGTACAATGAGGTCCATATGTCGCGGCTGCCTCTTAACCCTGCACTACATAAGAATGGTTATTAAAGTGTCAAACGATTTCGTATGAGGTCAATACTATGTCTGTCGACGCGGATGCTCATCTGAATGAGAGGAACATTAGTCCGTCTGTTAGTACTAGGAATTAAAGTGGACCAAAACGCAGCAACAACAATGACAGGCTTTCAATCGAATTTACATCGCTAGAGAGATAGCTAACGTGAAAATGAAGAACCTAAATCCAGGATCTTCAAGGCTTTTTTTTCACATAAGCCCAGATTCCGAATAAATGAACTTCTTTACGGCTTCAGTTTCATCCACGTGGTTGGAAAGTCGAATTTTTTTAAGCAATCGCCAAGAACTTCCCGATCTGCCGCCATAGGGATTGCAGCCGGAAAGGTAAGCAGTTGTTCATTTATTTAACACACAAGCCCATCATGTACACGCAGTGTACCGTGTAATATTGTGTAGTTAAAGCTTATTTGCTCTTTCTTTGTTTTGACATGTTATCTATAAGAGCTTTATCAGACCACGTTTTGCAATAAAGTATATCTTTGGACCAATGGAAAACTAATAACAGGACAAGATTGATCTTCTTAGATCAATGTACAGTTTTAGATAGTAGGCTTTTCGTCTGATGTGGCTACGGGGCGTTGCGTTAGAGGTCATGGCCTGGTTTGAAAGTATCACACTTTTCGAGAAAATTTGTCATTCCAGACATTCCTTATTAGAATGGAAGTCAAATTTAGCTGAAACATTACACTGCTTACATGTGGTTTTGAAGGAGTATTTTGAACAAAACATCACTCCTTCACGATGAACTTTGGCCCGATTAAAGGGAGCAAACCACCAAACCACCATAGCGGAAAGGAAAGAGCAGAAATAAAAAATTTGGTAGCGGAATGTGTTGGGGACGTCTGCAACATTAAGCGAAAGGCAATCCCGGTCAAGGAAGAGTCAAAAGTAGATTAAACAGAGTAAATGAGAAGAATTGGAATCTGATCACAGCATCTATCCTGTTGTGGGGCCGTGTTTTGATTGGATCAAAAGTACAAAGCAGTAGTTATTGAATGACGAAGGCAATTACACGGTGAATTGAAAGAGTTCATGACCTCTTCGTCGTTCTATTAGCACCCTGCCGTAAAAGACCAGCAATTATTCCTGCACCTCTCACGCACTGTTTGCAAATTGTCTCCACTAAACTTACTGTAAATATAGTAATTACACATATCAAGTAAGTTCTGAGCTTCATGGTCGCCATGTTTCCCGTTTTTTCCTAATTTTTTAAGGTATGGCATGTTTTATCACTTTGTACCCAGACAGCGTATGACTAGGTCTTTTTGGAAAACCCAAAAATGGGATAAGGTTCTTCAGCATGACACGTCCGATTTAGTAGTGGTAAAGGTTGCACAATTTCTCTTCGATATAATTATTTATTCATGAAATTTCTATACATTATTTTATGACTTAGACTCCGCTGTCCTTGGGTGACATTATATTATATTTGTTATGTTTACTTCTTATTTTCTGCCTTCTCTAATTTTTATGGCAGGGTATTAAGCGAGATACAACCACAATATTGCTGAGATATTTGCAAAACAGGCGTCTGCGGTGGGGAACGAACGCGCTATTGTCCTTTCCGGAGAGTAACGCGTTCACCACCAAACCACGCGGGTCTTTCGTCTCGCCTGTCTCTCAGCTAGTTCTATAGATCGGTACCGTCAGCAATCACCCGTCAACAGGATTGAAATGAATGACCTGCATGGTGTGGTAGTGAACGCGTTACTCTCCAGGAAGGACAATAGCGCATTCGTTCCTCTCCGCAGACACCTCGGGTCCGGAGTTTTGCAAATATCTCAGCAATATTGTGGTTATATTTGTTATACTTACAGTTCGATCTACTGGAAGCCTGGCACATAATATCTCTGTTAGCCGGTTTGTCAACTAATCTCGAAGAATGCTGCTAACCGATGAAGGCGGCAAATCTTAATCGAGCGTAGGAATCAGTCCAAACAGCTCCACTGAAGACTATTACAACGCAGTGAAACGAAAGGAGGAAGTGTTGGGGCACCTTGCATGAGAGAATTGCCCATGGAAGTATCCAAGTTTTTTCGACTGTTTTACCTTCGAGTACTTTTCGATCAGCTTTCTTCTCAACGTGGATTACCGCGATACTTGGTAATTTATCCATGAATAAAAAATGTGATTGCAATTCAATAGCAGTAGTTGCGCAAAACATTAATATCGGGCAGCATTGTCAACGAACAACATCACTTGTCGTTAGACCGATGAATTTGAATATGTTGATGAAAGCCTCGGAAATGAAGCTCATAGAAAGAGAGACATTCGGTAATTTGGGCCAGTTGAAGATTTTGATTGAAGGTAAGCAGAGGCGGTTTGAAAAGTTAAGTATATGCACCGGACTAATATTCCACTTTCTTACATTTTTGGGTAGTATCAGGGAGTTCTAGGACGAGTGTTTGCCACGGGCGCTTCTAGAATTACACGATAGCTTTTGCTGAAGATGTTTTTTGACTGTAGAAAGCATAAGGCTGAAATCGAAGCGTTTTCTTTCCTAATATGCATTGAAATTACAAACGTTGGAATTTAGAAAATGAAAAAGGGCATGCCGAGGCTTTCGAATTAGCAATTCAAAGTTAATATGGTTAGATCCATGAGGAACGGAATTTTTTCACGAGGTTTCTAACACCTCATTCACGCTCCACTGAAGGAACACCTCTTAATATTCCAACTACGTCTATTTAGGTCAAGAAATCAGCATGATGACGACAAAACTCCAAAGTTGAGCAAAAGGAAGGGAGCGGCTTGCGGAGCTCTCAAGAGGATAGAGTATGTTGCGAACATAGCAAAGAACTTCCGACTCCGTGTCCACCTTTTCGACTCCACGATTTTTCCTGCCTTAATGCATGCGCCAGAAACCTGGTTGCTGGGTAAGCAAGATGGAAGATCATTCAGCGTTATCGAACGCGCAGTCAAAAGGATGATGCTAGGAGTACCCCTTGTCACGGAAGTAAGAGAAGGGGTACGAAGCTCCGACATACATCAACGATCAAAAATCAAAGATACCGTTCTGTACGCCAAACAGTCGAAGATAAGGTGGGCTGGACACGTAATGCGTATGAATGACAACCAATGGACAGGAGCCATTACTGACTGGATTCCTCGAAATGTCAAGAGCACTGCAGGAAGACCACCGACCAATGGTCAGAGTTCTTCACAAAAAGCCTAGAAGAAAGGTATGATGCTCAACGAGTCTCTAGAGCGAGCAGAACTCATCGAGCTACTTTTGCACGCGACAGGAAAAAGTGCATGTTTTGCTGATGCCCGCTCGAGTCGTTCAAAGACCAACGAGGCGACAAGTGATGGAGGTAATAGTTGAGTAAATTCCTCTTACATGAATGTTTCAGAAGGACAGCGAATAATGGCCGTCGTATTGGTCTACGACTTCACAGAGTCTTCTCTTTTTACGGTATCCATTCCAAAATTTTAATGAATCATTACCACGCCTTAGCACAGCTATCTTTTCAGTTTTTGGTAAGGTAACACACAAAAGAAATTGATTTTATTCGAATAGATAGATGAGCGCGCATGAGTCACTGCTCTCTCTCAGAGTTCTCAGAGAGACTCATAACATCTATGGATTTTCAGACTCTTTCACACAGCTTTTTTTCCAGAGCTTCACTGATTATTTGGATAAGCAAACTTTTTTTTTCTTTTCGACAGACACGTCGACAATCATTTATTCACAAGATGTCGCGATTACGGCAATGTACTCGAAGAAAAGAATGTCGGAGAAGCGACTCTTGTATGCTGTTGCATGTTCTTAGTACTGCTTGCGGGAGCTGCATTTTCGGTTGAACGAAGTACAGCTTTGACGAGGAAGTATTGCACTGGAGAGCTCCAATTCCAACGATAATAGCGAATAGGTGATGAGGAGGTTAAACAATCTTAAACTGTTTTCAATAAATTGATGAGAAGCTAGAATTTCTATACGAAGAGGTAGCAGGTGATCTTTTCACAGCAAAAGTTTTTGTACGTTGCACCAGTTTTCTGAAGGAATAGGTCCGTTATAATGTCCGCATTTATAGTTCAGAACGAGAGTATTCCGTTGCCACTTTTATTTAGATGGTCCGACATCACACCTATTGTGTGGATCTCACTATTTCTTGCATTCGACACGTTTCCTCGTACCCCTAATCCACGAGAGTCTAGGAGGTTTTTGCCTCTGACCTCGGTTGGTGCATGACGATTTTTGTCTTCTTTGAAAATGTCGTTGAATTCTGGTTGACACGATTCTCCTTGAAATCTTGAGAAAGCAGTGCTAATCGTTCTCACGTTAACCGGAGAGACTTACCTATTCCCAGACGAGTCTGGTGCCGAACTCCCGCACCTGCAGAGATTTGACGCCTGAGCGGCCAAGTGTGAGGTCGACAGCACTTTTCTCGTAATGAACAACGTCACTACAACTTTTCTAAACGACCCTCTTGGCTGTTATATGGTCTTCAGTCAATAAATCGATGTAATTATTTTGATCCTTTAAGGATCCGGCGTAGCAGACTTTCTTCATATCGACAGGAGATGTCGACTGCTAATTGTTAAGACCCAGGGACATCCTAGCAAGGCTATCCCGAGGTTCTAGTTAAGCCATATTCAACTAGCACTGAAAGGTCAGTGAAGATCGAGTGCGACAGATGTTCAGGCTGCAGTCAAACACTAGCATGACGCCGGCCACAGTTATGGCTGTTGATTTGCAAGCTAAGAAAAGAATAGAAGAAATGTTAGGATTGACATGAAATGTCAGGGCTGACGCTGTATGTATATACACCAGTAACGGTTTGCTGTTCATAGAATTGCTTAGCAAGGTATACAATGAAAACAGCATGATGACTTACTTATAGTTAGATGACCTATCTTCACGTCTTATGCTGGTCTCAGCTCAAATTTTTCCATTCTCATTCACAATTGATTGGGTTAGATTTTGAATTTAGCTACAACTTCGGAGTTCACTATCTTTCCTCGCTTAAATGTTGAACGTCGGTCGAACGTGACTTTGCTTGGAAACAGAAATGGCAGTATCTTGGGAAACTGCCAAAAGCAGTTGCTTTTCTTCATGAGTCCGATAAAGTTTTTTTGCATTGTGGCTGCGATCCTTTCAGGACGATAGCATGCCTATGACGTCAACAAGCTCTGCAAATAAAAGACTGCTCAAAAACGATATAGGAAACCGAATGAATCAACATCTTCTTTTCCTAGGAAACCATTCGACGGCATCATTAATGGGTCTGGAGTATCCGGAGCATTTCAATGGATTAAGTGGTTCCTCATCTCGGACAAGTAGGTCGTCATGCAGGCAATAAATATTTGTCGTCATTGTTAGATTAGGTCTACACAGTCTTGTCTTTTTAATTTAAAGATGGCTTCACTCTCGATGGTTTTTTCGTTTTTCTCGCATAAGGTTCAAGTGTTCTCTGTCAATTTTTCTTCTTCGAATTAAAGGCTTGTTCCAAACACGTTCATATCACATTGAATTATGTAGAAGGGGTGTTAAGATCGTTTCGAGGTTATTTCATATTCTAAGCATGCACAAAGGATTTTCCTTGTCATTCCACCTATCTAAACTGCTAACGACGAAAGGCGCTCGCTACTCCTTATGACCTTTACGGAACCAGTTGGGGGTTGATAATGTGATTGATGCCTATAAACACCGTCGAACAGAAAAGAACGACAATTCATTCTCAAAAGAGTTATTGCAGTCACTGGCTTTTGTAGTATCTTCGTCATGTTCTACGTTTTGTGTAAACTTCTCTTTTCTGAAACAAAATTTCCAACGTGTATTTTTGTTCTCACCTTATCTGACTTTTTTGAAATAGTTTCAAATGGATTTGGTAGTACTGAGCTTCGTTCAAGGCTGAGCTAAGTGAGTGGATTCTCTAGACCGTTAGCTAAGGATAGATTTTTCTTCCCACGACCGACTTACTTTCAACCTCGGCATTGATAATTCGATTTTTTTTCTTCAATAAGTAGACACGAGGCTGTTATTATAGGATTTATTAGGATACAATAGCTGACGTTTCGGCGGTGATGGATAGCAGCCGCACAGAGTAATACATGGGCGATAACTCAACTAACTTAAATACTTACAACAAATAAACGGCTCTGAAGATGACGAAACCGCCGAAACGTCAGTTATTGTATCCTAATAAATCCTATAATAACAACCTCTTGTCTGCTTATTGAAGATTTTTCTCCGTTTACCTTCTATGTAGAAAAATTAATTTTTTTTTTGGAAATTCAACGTGTCTATCGAACTTTATAAATTTGTTATTCCCAGCATGATAATAATAAATCACTGTTGCTGTCCAATGGCTCACTCATTTTAGTTTTCAGATGAAGACTGTGTGTCTTTTGTTGGGGTGTGTGCTTGTTGGCGTTAACGCAAAAATGCAAAATATCACTGTAAAGGGCACTACTATTTGTAATAAAAAACGACTAGGTGGTGTTACTGTGGAGCTATGGGAAAAGGACACACGTGAGTATACGATTCCGCTCGCTATCATTTTTTTTGTGAAATAATTATTAGTTGAGTTCGTTAGGTCGTTCGCAACAATGCAGGTCGTTTGGAAAACAGCACGTAATTTTTCGATTCATTGAGAATGGGATGGGACGTGTAGCACAGTAGTTAGTGGTGTCTTGTTGAACACGCGGAGTCAATGGTTTGATCGCCAGGCCAGCTTAAAGCCGGCCTTCCATCTCTCATTTTCTGCGGTCTACAAATTACTACGAGACTCTTTTTGAAGGATGCTAAATCGATATTATATGTACACACAATTTTTCTAAAATGTCACTTCCACATGAAATTTATTTTAAATCCAGATTTTCAAAAAGTCTATAATGCTTCAAGTTTGAAAGATTTCTACATAGGCGCGACGACAAACACCAATCGAAAGCATCACTGCGCCACTGTTCACTTTTAATCCCGTTCGCATAACTGTTCGAGATACGCGGCTCGTCAAATAAAAAATGGAAGGAAAAGGGTTCATATGCTCCAGAAAATATGAGTTTCGCCATGGTAATAGAGTAGCTGCTTTCTTGTTTCAAAAAATCTGTTGACTCTGTTGGTTTTTATTTTCATAACGAAATTCATTAGCAGCTGAGGTATGGGCGTCTACGTTGAGAGGTGGAGTTGTTAAGTTCAGAAACGTGTGAACCATGGACGAGTTATAAAGAAGCGAATGCTTTCAATATTCTACTCGTCATATGCAGACACGCCAATAATCGATTAACTCAATGGGACCTACTAAGCTCAATTCATCGCTCTCGGCCAGCAAAGATGCTCATCGAGCTCCGTCTCTTCAACCAGGGGACATGTAGGGTACAGGACCTTTAGTATGATTCCTTTTTCACTGTTAATGGCCAAAAGGTTGCCGTGAGTTGTTAGCGCTGCCTTGTCTTGATATAAGTATTACCCTCAGCTAAGTTTCCTATGAGAAATGCCGAAGACAATGTCGACTCGCATTACTTGTTCGCTCGATGAACGCTCGTTACACATCGCAATTCGGGTCATAAGAACATATCCTGCCAGCGATGGGGTGATAAACGATCGGCATCTCCAAAACTAAATAGAAAAAAAACTTGATGAAAGATTTGAATTGTACATTTGCTATGATAAATTCTAATTTTTTAAAAACAATTTTCAGTTAAGTCTAAGTTTTTAGTCGATCCTAACGATCTCCTTGCATCAGTGTCCACATCCAGTGAAGGCGAATTCCTTGTGAAAGGAGGCCAGAACGAGTTTGGTTCCATCGAGCCTTTCATAAGAGTCATTCACACCTGCAACGTCAAGAAATCGGTTTCTTTTGTAAAGCTTTTGTAATGTTTATACCTGAATGTATTTTACAATTGCTTAATCTCATTCTAGTGCGTGTTTCAATGGTAATTTTTCTGATGAAGTTCATATTTCAGAAGTGCAAGAGAGTCTCAGAATACGAGATTCCTAAATCGAAGATCAACGGTGTCTATAATATGACATTTGTGACCTTGGACATCCATTCAGCTGTAGATAGTGAAAAATGTTGAATAAAGGATGAAAACTCGGTGATATTATGCAAATGATCAGACTTAATTATGCGACTCGCTAAAGTAATAATCTGGAATAAAAAAAAATATTGATTTGGTCTCTTTCTTATTTATTAAGACACTTGGACGGCACGTGTGACACAGTGGTCGGAGGCGCTCTGCAATACACATGGGACCGAATCCCGCGCCACTGGCCCACCGAGCCTTCCATCTCTCTGGGGTCGGCAAATTAGCACCGGACTTGTTTGGGAGGATAGCAGCACTGGCTCGATACATCGGTAGACCACCGCGAGTCATTGATAAAGGCTAGATATGGATTTAATCACTTCCGAACGGTGTTTAATGATATCGAATGCATGGCGCATCCCTAAGGGATTGATCAGCGCCGAGAGCATTATCCTTTTATCATTTCACTTGGACGATGTGCGTTAACTAGAAGTGCCAGTCTCAGCATATCTTGCATTCGTTTCTTTCTCGCACAATCGTTCCCTGTGGTAGTGGTCCGTTTCGAAAGTGGTGAAGTTCGCGAAGCACATGGCTTACCCTTGAAATCGTTTCCATCTGCGAATGCACATGATTGACGTTAGCCACGAACACATCCGTCCATCATATGAGTGGTGGCTAAAGAAGACGGTTGCATTCTCTTCGACATCAGTTTTCCTTTCGTCAATCTACCATCCAACCTTCTTTTTATGACCAGCCCATCGGTGATCGCTAAATGTTATGAGTGCTGCTTAACCTTCAGAACACGTCATTCAAGCGTCTTGTGAGTGGTGCGCTGACCTCTTGGCGTAGTTAATGTATCAGTTCACGTCTCTATCCAAAAGGTGACCGCCGATTTCCGTGTCCGCTAGTTGGTCGATGGCCGCCCAAAGTAGACTTATGTGGTGGTCTCTATAATCGGAGAACCATCGAGTTCTATTTATCCGACTTCGCACCACCGGTTCTTCGTGAACTGAGACTTTTTCGAATTTATATGTAGCCCAACCCTTTTGTTCCCGCTTCATGGAGTTCATTGAGCACCGTCTCTGCGTCGCCGGTTCTCCTTATAAAGATGGTGATGCCGTCAGGAAAACGAAGATTTGACAGGAATTTTCCATCAATCTGCATACCTTTCTCGTTCCTGGCAGACGACATCACTATCTTCTACGATGTGGCCTTAATAGGTCTGGAGTAATAGCGTGGCCTTGTCGAATTCGTTTTTCTGAGGAAATGAGAAAGAACTGAAGAACTATAACTCGTATGAAGTGCTGAGATATCTGCACAACAGCGCGTGTTCGTTCCCCACTGCATATACCTGTGGTTCGGAGTTTTGCAGATTTCTCAGCACTTCATACGAGTTATATTTCACAACATACCCTGCCATTAAGAAGAAAAAGGCAGTAAATAAAAGAGTGAAGAACTATAGTTCGACGCAAGCTTTAAGTCCATCGACAAAAAGCTTGTAGTCCTTAGTTGGGCCTTCACATGTTATGGCTGGAACGAAACATTGCACGAAGGAGGAAATGGTATGACCCTATGCAGAATGTCATAATGGCACTATCAAAAAGGAGCAATTTTCTTTTATCAGAATATTGATCTCCACGTGAGTTGTGCCGTAGGGAAACATCAAAGTCCGCCGGCTACCTGCTCTATTCTCGTAAACTAATTTCTCAAATGCTGCGGATAGGAGACTTGCTGCATTGTTTACATTTTCACATCGACCAATCTGAACTTTATTATCTTGTATCCATCTCCGATGGTCCATCTCATTCTGGCAATGAAGTCTCCAACGACAAATTTGTAGGAAGACTTTTTGTTGTAGATTAATTCCTCCAACTTGTTCTGCAACGCGTTTAGCTCGCTTTCGTCAGCTGCACAGCTTGGTGAGTAGCAGATGATGACACTGTCTTTCCTTACGTGTTTATAACAAATAAAATATTCTGACTCAAAAACGATAAAACGGGCACAAATGTCTTCACAACATGGCACAAAAAGACTACCAAGAAAAAATTCGCGTCATTTTGCAATACTTAGCATTATATAGTGGGAACAACAACATCTAACAGAGGAATGATTGGATTTGCATGTGCGTAGCGGTTGCTGCTGGAGAATTTTTAATTCTCATCATCAAAACCCTTGAAGGTAAGTCAGCAAGAGTTCCTGGAACCGCAGGATAGCCGTGTTATCACAACACAAAAACTGCACCTATTGGACTAACATAGGCAAATTGACCTAGGTCAGAGTCTAGAGCGTGGGTCTAACACGCCAAAAATCCTAAGTCCGCTCGATTCAGACGAGGAGCTTCGTAGACTAATCTACAAATCTATTCACACACTCCGAAAACTTGGCTTCGAAAAGGATTTCCTAGTGCGCTTTTCACTGCAATCAAGGAGTTGCTCTCAGTAGGCTCGAACTTCGTGCCTTGAAAGGTAACATTATCCACCAAAAGCATTTGACATTGCGCGTAATCGATAATGTCTCCGCTAATAATAATTCCCATGACCGACTTTCAATAACCTCGGTATAGACCAAACACTTCTCGTTATTCCTGTTGAGCAAACAAAGAGTTGTTACCTCATTCTTAAGCCCGATGAAGCTGACGATTCGGCAATTTCGCCTTTTCAGGGCCTGGAAGCGCATACTGATAGACAATTTCGTCGAACAAACTACAACTGTGTTAACACATTCCAAGAAGTTCACTTCGCAAACGACCTCTACTACGCTTTTCACTTCAACTCAGGAGTTCGCACTTTAAGCATGCATGAACTTGATGGCTCGAAAGCCACCGTTGTGCATTGAACGTACGCCATAGACATCGAATATGTGGCCGCCATAGCTCAGTCGGCTAGAGCGTGGGTCTAATAAGCCCAAGGTCGCAGGTTCGACCACTGCTGGAGGCAAAGAGTTTTGTCGAATTAACGGCAAATGTGTTCACGTATTACGAGAAGATCTCTTCGAACGGATCTCCTAGTGCACTTTTCACTCCAACTGAGGAGAGCGCACGCTTAGAAAGCTCGAATTTGATGGCTAAAACGAAAACGTTGTATAGTGACTGGTGACCAAGAACCATTTCAAATTGCATGTACTGTATAGTCTCGGAAGGTGTGGCCGCCGTAGCTCAGTCGGTTAGAGCGTGGGTCTAATAAGCCCAAGGTCCCAGGTTTGACCCCAGCGAAGAATTTTGTCGAATAAACGGCAAATGTGTTCACGTATTACGAGAAGTTCTCTTCGAACGGATCTCATAGTGCGATTTTTACTCCAACTGACGGGCTCGCGTGTTCTGTAGGCTCGAATCTAATGGCTAAGTCGAAAACGTTGTATAGTGACTGGTGATTAAGAAGCATTTTAAATTGCACGCACTCCATAGTCTACGAATACGTGGCCGCAATAGCTCAGTCGGTGAGAGCGTGGGTCTAATAAGCCCAAGGTCGCAGGTACGACCCCGGCAAGGAATTTTGTCGAATAAACGGCAAATGTGTTCACGTATTACGAAAAGTTCTCTTCGAACGGATCTCAGAGTGCGATTTTTACTCAAACTGAGGAGCTCGCATGTTCTGTAGGCTCGAATTTGATGGCTAAATCGAAAACGTTGTATAGTGAGTGGTGATTAAGAAGCAGTGGTGATTAAGAAGCATTTTAAATTGCACGCACTCCATAGCCTACGAATATGTGGCCGCCATAGCTCAGTCGGTGAGAGCGTGGGTCTAATAAGCCCAAGGTCGCAGGTACGACCCCTGGTGGCGGCAAAGAGTTTTGTCGAATAAACGGCAAATGTGTTCACGTATTACCGGAAGTTCTCCTCGAAAGGATCTCAGAGTGCGATTTTTACTCCAAATGACGAGCTCGAATGTTCTGTAGGCTCGAATTTGATGGCTAATTCGAAAACGCTCTATAGTGACTGGTGATTAAGAAGCATTTTTAATTGCAGGTACTGCATAGTCCCCAAACATATGGACGCCGTAGCTCAGTCGGCTAGAGCGTGGGTCTAATAAGCCCGAGGCCGCAATTTCGACCCCTGCTGCCGGCAAAGGGTTTTGTCGAATAAACGGCAAATGTGTTCACGTATTACCGGAAGTTCTCCTCGAACGGATGTCATAGTGCGATTTTTACTCCAAATGACGAGCTCGCATGTTCTGTAGCTCGAATTTAATGGCTAAATCGAAAACGTTGTATAGTGACTGGTGATTAAGAAGCATTTTAAATTGCACGCACTCCATAGTCTACGAATACGTGGCCGCAATAGCTCAGTCGGTGAGAGCGTGGGTCTAATAAGCCCAAGGTCGCAGGTACGACCCCGGCAAGGAATTTTGTCGAATAAACGGCAAATGTGTTCACGTATTACGAAAAGTTCTCTTCGAACGGATCTCAGAGTGCGATTTATTCTCCAACTGAGGAGCTCGCATGTTCTGTAGGCTCGAATTTGATGGCTAAATCGAAAACGTTGTATAGTGAGTGGTGATTAAGAAGCAGTGGTGATTAAGAAGCATTTTAAATTGCACGCACTCCATAGCCTACGAATATGTGGCCGCCATAGCTCAGTCGGTGAGAGCGTGGGTCTAATAAGCCCAACGTCGCAGGTTCGACCCCTGCTGCCGGCAAAGGGTTTTGTCGAATAAACGGCAAATGTGTTCACGTATTACCGGAAGTTCTCCTCGAACGGATGTCATAGTGCGATTTTTACTCCAAATGACGAGCTCGCATGTTCTGTAGGCTCGAATTTAATGGCTAAATCGAAAACGTTGTATAGTGACTGGTTATTAAGAATCATTTTTAATTGCAGGTACTGCATATTCTCCAAACATATGGCCGCCGTAGCTCAGTCGGTTCGAGCGTGGGTCTAATAAGCCCGAGGCCGCAATTTCGACCCCTGCTGGCTGCAAAGAGTTTTGTCGAATAAACGGCAAATGTGTTCACGTATTACGAAAAGTTCTCCTCGAACGGATCTCATAGTGCGATTTTTACTCCAACTGACGAGCTCGCATGTTCTGTAGCTCGAATTTAATGGCTAAATCCTAAAC